ATAAATCTTTGGCAGGCGCCGCGGCTCACTAGGCTAAGCCTCCACCTGCGGCGCCGGCACCCCAAGTTCTAGTCCCGGTTGGGGCACCGGATTCTGTCCCGGTCGCTCCTCGTCCAGTCCAGCTCTCTGCTGTGGCCCGGGAGGGCAGTGGAGGATGGCCCAAGTGCTTGGGCCCTGCACCCGCATGGGAGACCAGGAAGAAGCACCTGGCTCCTGGCTTCAGATCAGCACATCACGCCAGCCGTAGCAGCCATTTGGTGGATGAACCAACGAAAGGAAGACCTTTCTCTCTGTCTCTCTCTCTCTCTCACTGTCTAACTCTGCCTGTCAAAAACAAACAAATAAATAAATAAATAAATAAATCTTTAATAAAATAAAATAAAATGGAGGAAGTCTAGATCGCCCCGATCTTGGCCCTAGCTTCGAATGAAGTGACCGGCCTGACTTCCTAGGCCAGCCCCTAAGGGGGATCCAGCCTCCACGTCGCTCTCTTGGCTGCAGCCCTGAGCCAACATGCAAGTGGCCAGCGACCCTGCAATGTCCTGTGGGAAGTGATGCCCGGGAGGCCCAGCCTTGGGGCATCAGACAGGCGGGAGAGCCTCCAGGTGACTCCACCCCAGCCTGGGCCTCCCGCGAGACACCCAGGGCAGCAGAAGCCAGCGGTCTCGCCGAGCCCTGCCAACCCCGACTCCCAAGCAAACCCAGTGCCGCTGCTGCTGGGAGCCACTAAGTTCCGCGGTGGTGTGTTATGCAGACACGTGGAACAGTAACCTCCTGACTATATGAGTTGACTCGAATTCCATTTCAAAGTGATCAGAATTACGTAACGCAGATTTAGACGACATAAATGTCTCCTGCAAACCAGCCGGCACACCAAGTGGGCCTCATGCTCAGGGCCAGCTTCTTGCCCCGGGATGTCGGCAAAGGTGCAGGTCCAGTGCTGAGGAGGAGCTGGTGAAGCCGTGGCCTATGATGCTCGCGTCCCGTGTGAGAGCCCTGGGCAAAGAGGTTTCCCATCTGCTGGTTCACTCCCCAGATGGCTGCAAGAGTGACGTGTGGGCCGGCATAAAGCCAGGAGCCAGGAACCCTATCTGGGTCTCCCACAGGAGTGGCAGGGGCCCAAGTACTGACGCCATCTTCTGCTGCTTTCCCAGGCCCATAAGCAGGGAGATGGATTGCAAGAGGAGCAGCCGGGACTTGAGCTTGCACTCTGATATGCGATTAACAGCAGTTTAACCCACTACGCCACAATGCCTGCCCCTGGCATCCACACTCACTGGCTAGAGGCCTGGTTATCTTCCAAGCCACTCTCCTTCCTAACAACCGACAGACCGTGTTCAACAAGCTGTAGGTTGCCTGGGCCAGCAGCTGAGTCCCTCTCATCCCTGCACGCCCCTTGGCGGCTGGCACAGCCCTTGGACACAGCGGGTACTCACACCATGTCTGGAGGATTAACCTGTAATCACGGTTCAGGCTCCACGCTTTGCTGCCTGCACAGTACGGGGGCGCTTACAACCGATAACAGAGAGCGAGGGGATGTCTATCATAGGCCCCTCCCTGTGTGGAGTCAGCGCTGTCCCTGGGGCAGCAGGACCAGGGGCCTCCCCGAAACTTGCTCCTGGAGTGCTGGCTGGGCTGGATCCTGAGCCCCCGCACAGAGCCACCTGGCCCCTGGAGTCCCAGGAACTGGCAGAGAGGGAGGCGGGGCCAGGCTCTGTCCGTGGTGCTGAACTCACCTCTCACCCGCATCCCATTCTCCAGCAGGCAACAACTGTAACCGCCCCGGCAGCCAGGTAGAGAGGATCCCTGGGGCCCTTCTTCGCACAGCAGGTTCTGGAATCTGTTTTGACCCAAACCCCAAGCTCCTGTGATGCTACATGGGCAGCTTGCTACTGGCCTGAGTTTGACACCCACTGCCATCACGAGCTGGTGTTTGTGGAGAGCTTGCTGCGTGCCCAGCCCCGGGTGAGACACAGGGGAACAGGCAGCTGCCTCTGCAGGGTCTGTGCTCTGGGCGGGGGGCAGTGCTGGGGCCAAGTCCCTCAGCAGCTGAGGTCGGCAGGGAAGGAGGTAGGGTGCCCTTGTTTGCGTGGACCCCTGCCAGCCACACACCTCGCCTTCCTCCTGCAAGGCAAGACAGGTGGCGTGGAAGACAGCGGTCATTGCTAGCAGGACCCACGCTCGGGTCTTCCTTTAGGGTCTCACAGCCCTGTGTTCAGGACAACAAGTGCTGCCCTCCAGGGCTTAAGACCCGGATCAGCGTCCCCTCGTGACCCTGCTTGGTGCTCCCCCACGTGCCCCAACGGCTTAGTGCTCCCTCCCCCCGTCCTGCGGCTTCATCCTGTTCCGCATTTCCCACGCAGTCTGGGCCGGGGTTGGAGCTCCCTCCTGCGGGCAGGACTTGTGCCCAGGGCCCCTGAGTGGCATCTGAGATCCCCACGCGCAGAGGAGGTGAGCACTAAGTTCTCACTGGAGGAGGAGTGGGCAGGACGGGCAGTGGGCAGGACTGTGCCCAGGGGAGCGTGCTGCTGGGTGCAGCTCGGACAAGTGCGCAGAACCAGGAGCCATCAGCTGGGCCTCCGGGAGACAGGGCAACCGGCCAAGCGCCAATCAGGCAGGGCGAGCCTCCAGCCCAGGCTCGGCCGTGCACTGGGCGTGGGGGGGCAGGAAGTGAGCTGGATGAAGACAGATGTTCTCTGGGCCTGAATGTGGGGCGGGGGGAGGGGGCGGGGAGGGGAGTGCAACAGCCAGACTCCGGTTTCCGTGGTTCACTTTCTGTTATGGAGAATCACAAACACATGCATGCACATGCACACGCATGCACGCATGTGCACGCACTGCTCACACACATGCACGTGCACACACACGCTCACACACACGCTCACACACATGCACACATGTGCACACACATGCTCACACGTGCACACATGCGCACGCACACACATGCTCACACACATGCACACGCACACACATGCTCACACATGCACACACATGCACATGCTCACACAAATGCACACATGTGCACACACATGTGCACACACATGCTCACACACCTGCTCACACACGCACATGCACGCACTGCTCACACATGCACACGTGTGCACACACATGCTCACACACGCATGCACATGCTCACACACATGCTCACACGTGCACACATGCTCACACACATGCGTGCACATACATGCTCACATGGCAGGAATGACATTGTCACCACCGCCCATTCAACAACCGCCCCCCATTTGCTTTTCTAACTTCAAGCCCCCCTCAGGCCCCTTTCCAGTGAAAATCCCATACCTTTCCCACTGGGCTCTAAAGGGGGTCCCTACACTGCACCTGGGGGCGGGGTTCTCTCTTCCTGTCCCCCCCTCCCCTCCTGACACCCTTGGCCTTGTTGAAGAAACCAGGCCGTGTCCCACAGAACAGGCCTCACCGCTGACCCGGTGGGCGGGGCGCTCGTTCCAGGGAGAGGGAAGAGCCGGTGCTGGCAGAGAACCTGGCGCCTGCCGGGGGTGCAGGGGGGCCTTGTGACTGTGACAGGAGCTGGTGAGCCGGGGGAGGGGCCTGCAGGCGCAGCGAGGGGGCTGCCGTGAGGAGGGACCCGGGGTAAGGAGCCTGCGCTGTTTGCTGGCTGCCCAAGGCCAGGCTCACGGGAGATACAGGAGCATGGGGTAAGGTGGCTCGGGGAGGAGAGGGGGAGTCCCCCGTGACCCCCTGCCCCATGCTGGGGCCCCCATACAGCACCTAGAGCTCCTGCTGATGCCCACCCAAGGACACCCCAATGCCACGATGGGGTGGTCCAAATCAGCCCCGCAACCCCGCTCCCAGTCCACGCCCCAGAGGCCCAGCGGAGCTCCCCGGCATGGGGCCCAGGCAGCCATATCCCCACCCATACAGACCCACAAAGGGTTAACCCGGCTCCCTCCCTCCTCCATCCCAACTCGGCTGAGCTGACTCCGCTCCCCCTCCCCACCCCCAGCTATTCTGGGACAATGGAGGCAGCAGATGGCCCAGTCCTGTTCCCTCCACCCGACCCTCAGGATCTCTTTCGGGAACAACCCAGAAATCTGCCAGCCGTTTCTAAAAGCAGGCCGGCGGGCGGTGGGGAGCGGGGAGCACGTGGGGGCTGCGGCCTGCCCCACCCCGCCCCCCAGCTGGGGGCTCCTTCGGGGTTGGGGCTGCCCAGCCAGGGGCCATCTCCTAGGGCTGGCATCCCAGCCTTGCGTCAGCTTGGGGAGGACGGGGCTTTGGAAGCAGCAGCTGGGCTCCGCACCTGATGGCTGCATGGCCACAGGCCCACGCGGCGTCTCCAGGCTGCGGGTTCCTCCTTGGGAGACCCGGGCTGGGCTCCAGGGCGCAGCGGTTCTAACACAGATGTGCATGGGCTGAGGCCCTGCCTAGGGACGAAGGGAGCCCCCGGCCTGCCTGGGCCCGGCCCCTTGGCCCTAAGGGTCTCTCCTCCTTCCTCCCCCAGCACTTGGGCCTGATGCAGGGTGAGCGAGAGACCCTCCCCCATGCACCACCGGGCCTGGCACCCCACTTCCATCACCGCACCCATTCAGCCCACCGCTGTGGGGCCCCACCGTCTGAGGGCATTTGCACTTATCCAGCCCCTGCCTTGCCCACCCCAAGGCGGAGTCCACCAGCTCCAAGTGTCCACCCTGCCTCCTGTGACCCTCAGAGCCCCCGACCCAGGCCTGCGGGGAGAGACGAGGAGGAGCCAGTGCCCGCGCCGGCAGTTCGTGGAGCGCGCTCACTCACACGTGCATCCGTCATGCACACACACACGTGACACACACACACATGTCCTTATGCACAGACGTGCTGAAGGGAATACCACGCCCACCAGCAGCCACTGTTCACTGAGCCCCCCTGCTGCGCCAGGCTCCACTGTGCCCTCTACAGCAGCAGGTGCCCTTGGTACCGCAGCACCAAAAGTGGCCACCGCTGTGACCCGGGCGCCACAGAGCCTGCGCCAGTCAGTGGGCTGCAACCGGACGTGAACGAACAAGGGTTTAATTTTCTTACAGAACCGGACACTGAGGGGCACAGCTGCAGAGGGCCATCGGGGTCTTTCCTCCATGGCAGCAAGGTGGCTGCCCCAGAGCCAGCCATCACAGCCACAGTCACAGTAGGAGGTAAGGTCTGGCACTCAAATCCATCCCCAGAAATCGCCCCCCAAGGGCTTTGCTTAGTTCCCACCAGCCAGAGCAGGGTTGCGCGGTAGCCCCCAACAGCCGGGGAGGCTGGGAAAATGAGTGAAAGGGTGGTTCCAGTGGGCAGCACCCATGAGGACCCCTCGCCTGGGGTTGTAAGCAGTGGGGGGGAGGCTGCTCCCCCAGCCCCACCATGTGCTGTGATTCCCCCTGGGCGCCCTCAGTGACTGGGTGGCCTGGAGACTTGGGGGACAGAGGCCAGAGCCCACCCACGGCCCCACATCACACTCTAGAGTTAGGACCCCCAATCCCAGCCCAGCTCCTGGTCAGTTCAGCCACCTGAGGCCCGCAGGAGCCTCTCTGGCCATCCCCCAGACCCCCGGCCCCTAGACCGCCCGACTCGGCACCCAGGGGCCCCGCCGGGGCTGCCTCCCTCAGGGCCCTCGCGGGTGAGTGCCGGCCGGGCCCCGCGGGCAGCTCCGGGCTCACTGCGCAGCCAGCTGTGGACACCAAGGCGTCTCTGGGTAAAGGAGGCAGTGGAGGGAGCGGAACCTGCAGAGACGAGAAACACACAGGACGGTTACCGCCACACCTGCCCTGGTCACCGGCCCGGCCAGGAGCGCAGCACTGCTGGGGGACGCCCGCGCCTTGGGGGTGCCGGCCAGCGTCCCTGGCCCCTGCTCGCCTGCTGCCAGCTGCACCCCCCCACACACACCTCCCCAAAGGGGCCCAGGGAAACCCAGAGTCCAGGCAGAACCCGCTAGGACCCCGCCACCTCCCCAGCCACATTTGGCCCTGCTCTCTCCTCTCTGCCGCCTTCTGGTTACACCACTTCCTCTACTCCCCTGGGCAGGTCAGGCCCTGGTCCCTGCCCCTGGACCATTGCATGTGCTGTCCCGTCCCCCTGGGGTTCACCTGCCTCCCCAGGTCCCTGGGGCTGCTCCTTCAGGTGCTCCGAGTTGTCCACCATGTCACCTCCTCCGGGAGGCCTTCCTGACCACTCCCGGTCAAAACCAGGGCTCCACCTCACACCCTCCGGCAACAGCTCCCACTTCGCCGGGACCCCTCATCCCACGACTTCCTGTGCACAGGTCTTGGGCCCTCAGCACAGCTCACCTCATCCCTCCCGGCCTCCTGCCTCCCCGCCCAGCCCCCCTCAGCCCCTGCAGCTCCTCCTGCAGCTCCCGGGCCTTCCATGCTTAACTGCCAAGGGCAGAGATGGGGGGAGGGGTGACGGACAAGCCCACTGCCCACAGATGGGACCCACTGCCCCGGGGAGGAGCCAAAGCCAGCTGTCACCCGGGAGGGGCTGAAGCGCCGGTTCCGGGGCTAGACCACTGGGCCGGAGACCATGTGCCTCCCCCAGAATCCCAGAGGCACCAGGAGGCCAGCGAGGGTCCCACGGGGGCGCTGGAGCCCCAGCTCTGCTCTCACTGGCTGTGCACCCAGGCGACAGTCTTCCCAGGGCGTGTTGGGGGCCGAGCTGGAAGGTGCCATCCCAACCCACTCCCTGCCTAGGAAAGCCCAAAGAGGAGAGGATAACCCCCCCGCCACCCCCGCCAGGGCCTGAGGCTGCACTGCCCCAGCACCTCCAAGCTCAGACCTTTCCATCTTCCAGGGGCTCCTGCAGGCTCCCAAGGGATAAGGGCTGGAAGAGCCCTGCGGAGCTACAAGTAGGAAGACCGAGGCCCAGAGAGGGCAAGATACTTTCCTAAGGTCACACAGCAAACCAGTGAGCAAGTAAGGACTGAAATCCACGCCCAGCTCCATGCTGTCATCCACCAGGCTGGCCCATCGCCCTCCTCCCTGGCCGTTCTCTGGACCCAACACCCACTCCTCCCATCTTCCAGCCCGCCCCCAGATTCACCTGGACGGGTCCTCCTCCGGGGAGAAGGGGCCTTGCAGCCTAATGACATTGAGCTTCCCCTCGAGGACACCGTAGCTCAGGGTGACCTGGCAGAGAGGAGCAGAGCTGAGCAGGGGGAGGCAGAGACCCTGCTCAACATGCGCAATCCCGCCTCACAAAGAGCCCCGCCCTGCCCCAAGGGGCTCCACCCCCACCTCCCATCGGCCACTGCGCTCCCCGGGGGAACCCGGACCCGACTGGGGTTCTGAGACTCCCTGTGGGACCCGCAGACAACCCCGCAGTGCAGCCTCCATGCGCCCGGCAGCGGGACGGAGGCAGCTTCAGCTGAGGGGCGGCTGAGCGCGGGGCAGCGCAGGGGGTTAAGCCGCTCCCTGTGACACCCGCGCCCCGGATGGAGCCAGTTCAGGTCCCGGCTGCTCCACTTCCGGTCCAGCTCCCTGCTAATGCCCCTGGGGGAAGTAGGTGATGGCCCAAGTCCTTGGGCCCCTGCACCCGCACGGGAGACCTGGAAGAAGCCCCTGGCTCCTGGCTTCGGATTGGTCCAGCTCCGGCCACTGGGGGCCATTTGGAGAGTGAACCAGTGGATGGAAAAGATGTGTGTGTGTGCATGTGTGCATGTGTGTGCATGTGTCACACTGCCTTTCAAATAGATACATCGTAAAAAAAAAAAAAAAGACTAGGAGCTTAAGGGATGCTCAGCCAGGACTCCTTCCCCCTCTGCCCTACAGCAGCTGTGTGCCTCAGTGCAGCTCTGTGGATCAGTTGTCCTGTCTGTAGAATGGGTATAATGGCAGTCAGCCCTCTGCATCCACAGATTTGCGCAACCGTGGGTCAGAACTGTCTGGAACAACAGTGTCTGTGCTGCGTACGTGCGCGCTTTCGTCCTGAGCCTCTGAACAGAGTAGCTCGGCACTGACGTGCTGGGGCCACAGTACTCGAGAGGGGATGGTAGACCGCGTGACTATGACGCGCTGGGAAGTCAGGGACCCGAGTGTCACAGGACTCCGGTCGCTCAGCGCCCTGCAGCCCCCGCAGGCCGCTGCGCCGCCCTCAGCTCACTCCTGTAAGAGCCAGAGAGTTCTAGAAGGGAGCTGCCCACCGCGGTGCCCGGCACAGTGGGTGCTCAGGACACCCTGACAGCTAGGGCACCCTGCTTTGGGCCACTCCAACTCTGCCCCCTTTCCTGGCTTCAGGCCGTGTAGTCCTGATGGGGCTGACCCTGCACCCCAGCTCCAGGCACTGGCAGAGACAGGTCGCAGGCCAGGCCATCGGACCCAGGGACCCCAGCCCTCAGCGCTGGGACAGAAATCCGGTGCTGGGACAGAAATCCGGGGTCTGGCAAGTGGGGGAGAGCCTGCCTAGGCACACGGCAAGCACCAGGGGGCGCACACAGCGTCCCGCAGCTCCATCCGACCTCCAAGTGGAACCAGACCTGCGAGGCCCTGCCCGCCGCTCCAGGCAGTGAGCGCGGTACTGCTTCTGTTTCACAGCCACGTGGCGCTTCTGTCACTTGCACCCAAAAGGGTCTGAGAGAAGACCCCAGCCCCCCCACACGCACACAGCTGAGGGTAGCGGCTATGGGGCAGAGCCAGTCTGCCCCGCCAGGAGGTCGGAGCCTCCTGAGACCGACCTCCCTCCCAGCAGCCCCAGGGTTAGCAGGAAAAGCAATGCCAGGGACAACCGGGAAGGGCATGGTTCCGGGGGGGTGGGGGGGGAGGCCCAGAGGCAGGGCCGGGAGCTGAGACGGCTCCTCCTCCTCTGTGCAGGGACTTCTAGCGCCACCAGTGTGAATACATGGGGGGCGGCTAGTGCAGAGGGCTGGGTCACTCTGCCCCAACAGGTCCCTGGTCACGGAGGCCTCAGTTTCCCCACCGGGGCCGCACAATCCAGGGCTCCAGGTTGACTTCAAATGCCAGGAGGGCGGGTGCAGGAGACCCCACCTTCCCTTCCTCACAGCCACCCCGCAGAGCCCGGCTCACCTGCTCCAGGAGCTGGGCCGCCCCCAGCAGCTGCAGGGTCTCCAGGTGGGAGTGGAAGAGGGGGCTGGGCTGCAGGCGGCCGCCCAGCTTGCGCTCCACGATGTAGCCCACAGTACAGTCGTCCGGCAGCCGGATGAGAGCAGACGTGTCCATGAAGCGGGAGCCGCTGATGGACAGAGGGACAGAGCGAGCGGCCAGCGTCAGCTGCCGCCCAGAGGACCCTCAGAGGTGGGGGGGGGGGGTGCTGACAGTAGAGCCCTCGATCCAGTTCCTGCCTCTGTCCTGTAGGCCCTCGGGCCTTGGGGAGCCTCAGTGCCCTCCCCTGGGAAATGGGGCTAATCACGGCCCTGCACTCCCCACCCACCCACCAGGCTGCACGCCCGCACCTGTGGGGAGCGGGAGCTTTTTCTAATTCGCAGAGGTAGGCAGGAGCCTGGGTGGGGCGCCCCAGCACAGAGAGCACCCTGGCTGTGGTCTGCACCTGCTGTAGACGCACTAGGACCGTGTGCCCACCCCACTACAGCCCAGGAAACCCCCACCCCCACCCCCCGCCCAGGGCAAGGCAGGACAGGCTGGGGGTAGTGGCGGAGCTCACAGGAACTGAAGCTAAATCCAGCGGCCGGGTGACCTTGCACCTGCTTCGCCTCTGGGTGCCTCGGCTCCTTCTCCCCTCCCCGCCCCGGGTGTTGCGAGGTTCTCCACAAATCAGAGGCCTGGCTTCCAGCCGACCCTAAATTCCAGGCAGTGCCGCTGACGTCAGTGAGAACAGCTGGGGAGGCTCAGGCAGCCGGGCCCCTCCCCTTCAGATCCTGCTCATCGGGGAACTCCAGGGCCGCCCCAGCTCAAATACCACCTCTTCCAGGAAGCCTTCGCTCTTCTCCCCAACTAGAAGGCCCTTCTCCGTGCTCTGAACGGCCCTGCCTTGGCCTTCACCTCCCAGTCAGAAGACAGCAGCAAAGAGGACCCAGCGCTGCCCTGGCTCGCACCAGGGGCCAGCCCAGACGTTTGCTCAGGGAACCCTTACGACACCCCGGCCGTTGTACCATCAGACCCGTTGACTGACAGGGTGACGCAGCTCGCCAGAAGGAGGAAGGCCCTGGCCCAGGCGCCGCCCCCACTCCCAGGGCTGGGTGGCGGGTTGGCAGCGGCGGCTCACCAGTAGCCAGCCCACAGGATGGGTGAGGGCGGATTCACCCGAGCCCCCTGCTGCAGAGCCCCCCACCACCGCCACCACGTCCACCATGCACCTGCTGCCCGCACCCGGGTCCCGGCTCACCTGGCCCACGGGGCCATCTTCAAAGCCAGCCTGCGGTTGATACAGAAGCCAGCGCCCCCTGTGGCGAACCAGAACTGGACCAGCCTCTGTGGGAGAGGAGGACCGAGGAGCAGGGTGAAGGGGGCACCGTGGCGGGACAACCAGGCCACCCCTCACCCCAGCCAGCAGGGCTCAAAAGTGCTGGAGTTCACGTCTCCTCTCCAGCGTCCTGCTCCGGCCTGGCCTCAGGATGCCCATTTTAGACAAAGGGAAACCGAGGCCCAACGTCACCCAGGTAATTATGAGGGCGAAGGTGGCTGATCAGACCCAGGTTCACGTGGATTCTGGCAAAGGGGGCATGTGTCGCTCCACCCACCCAGCACTCCCTCCCCCTGCCCGGAGAAACGTCTCTACCTCCCTCCAGCAGGTCTGGGAGGGACGCCCCAGCACAGCCCCTACCCACAGAGGCAAGGCAGGGGTCTGGGAATGAGAGATCACAAGGCCACGCCCCTTGACCCAGTGATTGGCCCAGCCGTGGGCTCATGACTTAGGCCAGCCAATCAGAGTCCTTCCCTGAGCCTGCTAACTGCAAGGAGCAGGTGCTCTCTACAGGGTGGCCAAGCCTGAGGCCAGCACCTGGGACCGAGCAGCTTTTCCCCACAAGGAGAGGAGGGCACCTTTCTTCGAGGAAGAGAGGACCGACAGGCCTGTGGGCGCCGGGCTCCAGCGAGCCCCTTGAGGTCTCCATCGATAGCATCTTTCTGGTTGAAACCACTTTCTGCCCCCGCCCACTGTGGCCACAGCCCAGGTTCTATTAATTCACCCCCGCATGCCTCTACGGCTGCTGGGAAACCCGCACCCTTCCAGCTGCCCTGTCTCTAACAAGTGCCCAGGGTTGAGTTCTCCCAAGCACACAGTTAGCGCCCAGTGGATGCAGTTGCATCAAGAGTCTGAGCTCTCTCCCACAAGGCAGCAGTGAGCAGAGCCCTGGCAGGGGTGGGGGGAGCTGGGAGCCCCACGTCCCAGCCCCTGCCTCCCCCGCTGCACCCTGTGTGACCCTGAGGAAGTCACTTCCCCTCCCGGGGCCTCGGAGCTGGCACTTGTGAGCATATCCGCCCACTTCTGAAGTCCAGTGGCTCCCCAGCCCCGAGGTGTCCTCCCCCACCAACTAGCCGGCTTCTAGAAACGCGCCCTGTAGAGAAAGGGCAGGGCTCAGCGAGGCGGAGCGAAAGGGCTACTGGGGGCCCGATACACAGGAGGCGTCCAGCGGACACTGCCTCACGAGCTGCAGCTTCGGCCCCCGGGCCCCACAGCAGCACCCACGGCTCTATGAGCGAGGGCCCCGCTGGGCTGAGGGCCACGCCCAGGTGGGGCGACCAAGGCACGGAGAAGCAAGGTCACTTTGCCATCTCGCCCTGGGGCACCCCAGGGCCTGAACATGCTGGGGCACTGTGGGCTTCTGTGGTGCCCCAGGAAGAGTCCCGAGATCCTCCTTTTGGGGGCCTAGCAGGGTGCTGGGGAGGGCACAGAACCCGCGTGGGAAAGGTGTGACTTGGGCCTGAAGTCCGGTCCTGACTGCTGATAGTTACCAGCGCCTCTCACGGGCCAGCTGCCTTCCAGGGCTTATACATGACCTCAGCCCTTTCTTTGTGCCAGGGTGGTCGGGGGCTGTGGTCACCCATTTCACAGATGAGGAAACTGAGGCACCGAGGTCAGGTGACCTGGATTAAGGTCACAAAGCCAGGGGGTGGCAGGGCTGTGTGTGAACCAGGGAGCCAGGCTCCAGAGTGGAGTTGTTCTCAACCCCTAAAGCAAACTGCTCGCGCCAGCTGCGTGGCCAGGGGTGCCATGGAGACGCCGAGACCCCGGCTCCCCAGGCACGGCTCAGGAAGGTTTAATTAGTGCTCAGACGCCGCGGAGCTGCTGATAATTAAGGCTTCGCATTTTCCGCTCCAGGTTTCTCTGGTGAAGCAGATGGTGCGGCGGGGAGGGAGAGCGAGCCCCGTGGCACGCCCGGCTCCTGCGCCAGGTGCTGCCTGCAGAGGGGCCACCTCCTCAGCTGCCTCTTCCCTGGGGCCAGGGGAGCCCCAGGGGCCTGGGCCACCCGCCCACCTGACGCTCGGTGGGTCCCGCGGACGCGGGGAGGGGCAGACTGCGCGACACCGAGGACGTCCCTAGCTAGGCACTGCTCCACTGTGCAGCTGATTTACCCAGCTCTTGGCTCGTGTGTGTTCTAAATTTGGCATGTCTGATCAGCACCCAGCCAGGTGTGGAGATGTAGCAGGTGCTGGGCTCTGTGCTGGGGCCGCTGGTGAACGGTGGGCAGAGGGGAAAGTCTCCCTTAGGCTCAGAGCACCTCAGTTCGCCACCTGGCCCACAGCCGTCCAGAGCCTTAGCAAACTACCCACGTGCTCGGTGGCACAGGAGCCACCTGCGCTCACCTGGGGGACCCACTGCTCCTGGCGGACTGAGGCCTTCCTGCGCGCCCCTCTCTGCCTTAGCTGGGTTACCCCAATCTCCGCACTGCACGGAGGGGCAGCCCGAGGCCCAAATCCAGAGAAGGAGCCCAAACCTGCAAGGCAGAACCCGCCCCTACCTCTCCACCGGCTCCGCCCCCAGGCCGGCCCCGCCCCTCCCCGGGCTGATGACTAATGAATGGGTAAAGCGGGACGGCGGGCACCGACCGAGCGGTTGTGCGGCTGCGGCTCCGAGGCGTGGATGGGCCGGTTGAGGCTGGGCCGGCCCACGTAGACGTCGCGGGACTGCGGGAAGCTGTTCAGCAGCTGCAGCAGAGCCCGCGGGTTGACGTAGTTGTCGTCATCCACGTGGCAGAACCACCTGTAGTGGGGGGGGGGGGCAGTGAGCCGCGGGCGGGGGCCTGGGGGAAGGCAGCGGGGCCTGCTCTAAGCCCCGCCCCCCGTCGGTCCACAGTGACAGGGCGGGCTGGGAACGGAGGAGCGGGCAGGGTCTGAACCCGCGGGTCTACTGGCTGCCTGCACCTGACTGCTGAGCGGGGTGGGGGACGGTGGTGGGACTCAGACCCCAGGGCCTCTACTCCCGGGCAGGGCCACTTCCTGCCCAGGACTCACCTGAGGAGGTGGCCCCAGGCAAAGGCCACTGTCCCCACCCCGCCCAGCCGCCGCAGACCCAGGCCGTGCACCTGCGCCCGCTGGTCACGAAGGCGTCCAGCTCGGCAGCCATCTTGCAGGACAGGGCGGGGTGGCTGTGCTCGGTGGAGCAGTTGGTGACCACGAGGTGGGAGCCTGGAGAAGCGAGGAGTGGTGGTCAGGGGACCCCGGGCAGCTCCTCCCCACAGCCCTGAGCCTGTGCCCATGCAGGCCAAGGTGGGACCGCAGAGCCCAGAGCAGCCCACCCACTGCCACCTTCCACCCAGTGCGATGGAGGCTGGCAAAGAACTGGCATGCTGGGGCCATGGAGCCTGCGGTCAGTAGGCTGAACCGGGGCCCGGCATCCAAGACCTGGTCCCGCCCAACCCCACGAACTTCCCAAGGGAGGCGCCCAGGCCAGGGCACAGCCACCCTGGCTTTCTCTGGGAAAAGCCAAGTGGTTCCCACCCCCGCAGGGCCGCCCCGAGTTACCCAGTCTCTCCCGGAGGCCTTCGTCTGGGCTGTCGGTGAAGACGAACGTCTGGGAAGCAAGGGGGGGTCAGGTCTCAGCTGTGCCAAGGGCAGCCCCAGGCCCACGCGCAGCCCGCCGTGGCCACGCCCCGGGCAGACCACTTGTCCAAGGGGACAGACACACGCCTCTCTTGGTCATGCTTTCCTTGGGGACAACATACACCACACACACAACATACACTCAGGGTGTGCACCTGTCCCACCTCACACACACACACACACAGAGCAGCACACACACTCAGCAAAACCACACCCCCTGCCATCCAACGCACATGTCACAGTCGCCCTCGGCCTCTCCAGACTCGGTGAGAAGCCCCACCCACCGCGGGGGCCCTGCCACACTCAGGGGGACGGTCACGCGCTGCTGGCCACACAAACCCCTGCACAGTACATGTGCCCACTCCGGCTCTCCCAGCCTGGACACGCCCCCAGCGGGTGCTTTTGCACGCCTGATTCCCAGAGACCCTGGTGGGGCAGACGGCATGATCTATCCCTTTCACAGATGACAAAACTGAGGCGAAGTGGCAGCCCGAGCTTGGCGAGTACACGGTGGGATTGCAGCCCGGGAGCCACGGCCTCGGCCCTCTTCCCACCGCCTCCCGCCCTGGACCAGGGGCAGGGGAGCGTGCAGCAGTGTCAGGCCCTGCCCCCACAGCCACAGACTTGCAAGGCACCAGATCTGCAGCAGGCTGACTTTCTAGGTGATCATTTTGCGTGGCCGGCGAATGATGCTGCAGACACCCAAATGGTTCCCCTGCAAGACAGCTGGTGCACAGACCCTGCATGCGGGGCCAGCCCAGCGTGCGCAGGGCCCTGCCTGCCCGAGCCATCCTCTCGTCCGCTAGGTTACCTGAGGCCCTTCCGGGGCTTCCCCAAGCCTGGGGCAGCTGTGAACCCCTCCTAACCGAGGACCAAAGAGAAAGCACCCCGTCTGTTCACAGCCCCCAACTCTGCTAGCCCTGACTGGAGCCGCCCCACAGCCCAGCCCGGTCCTTGTTTTGCTCATCTGCCTTCTGTCCAGAAACTGGCCATTTGGATCAGAGCAGCCCCTGTCATGAGCCTCGGTTTACCCATCTGTAAAATAGGGGATTTCAGAGTGAAACAAGAGAGTAAAAGAACAGGTTGGAGTTGACAGCGAAGCCAGGGAGAGGAGACCAGGAGGCTGGAAGCCAGGGTTGGCCCCTGGATGTGGCAGGAGGGAACCGGGCCCGTCTCCCAGTGCCCACGGCCACCAGTCCTCTCCTGAGTGGGTCATTGTCAGGGCCGGTCCCTCAGCCTGTTTGCCCGGCAGGACCCGAATCGGAAGAGACTCAGAGCCCCTCCCCTCCCCTGTGACTGAGCCTCGGCGGCCCCGCCTCCTGGGTGTGCCTGGGGACACAGCCCCGGCCCAGGCTCCCCTCAGCCCCAGTTCTTTCAGCTCAGAGCCTGTGCCACATCACTCCCCCTCGCTCAGCCTCCGCACATGCTGTGCCCTCCTCCCAGCCTCTAACCCCCAGCCCGGGCACCCCCTCCTCCAGGAAGCCTCCCCTAACACCCCTTCAGCCACATCAGCCTCTCCTCCCGTGGGTTCCTCCCGTGGTGCCAGCAACCATGGGCTTTGGAAACTGACCCCTGGGTGTCTCCCGCCCGGAGACCGCAGGTCCCATCCATCTCCTTGCGCAGCACCAGGCCGTCGCTCAGGGAGGCCAGGGCAGGCTCCACCCTCTGAGTCTGTCTCCCAGCAGCCGCTGTTGCTGACGCTGGAGACCCTGCATCCCCGTGGGGTGGTGGCGGCCCCAGCCCAGGCCCTGGTCCCCCTGCGTCCCGCTCACTCCCTTGGCCGTGTGGCCCACAGGAAGCTGGCAGCTGACCTGTGCACCTGCCCTGGCCTCCTTCCACCCCACCCCCCAGCTCCATGCTGCCAAATGCCCTGCAGCCAGGCCCCCACGCGCTCTGCCACAGCTCCTGGCATCGCGACTGAGCCCCTCACTGCCTCCCTCACAGCGCCGCCCTCCTGGTACCCAGAACCAGGTACTCCCCTACACCGCCACTCTTTCTCGCCCTGCGCACCCCAGCTGTCCAGCCAACCCTCGAGCCCCTGAGAGCCAGTCCCTCCCACAGGCCCACCCGGGCCAGCCCACAGGACCGCTCCTGCCTGCTTTACTCAGGTGCCCACCCTGGCCTCCTGCCTGTCCCGCCCTGCCCGCCCCCCAGTCTGTCTTCAGCACAGCCCCTCTCAGCTGTGGGAGGAGTCAGACCGCTCTCACCGTGCGCCCTGGAAGACTCGGGCTCCAAGCAGCTACTGGGTCATCGGCTCTCTCAAGACAGGGCCAAATGGGTTTGGAAATGTTTGTGGATGAAGAACTGGGAAGCCCAAATAAATGGGGTTTGGGGAGGCAAAGCAGGGCACCCCAGGACCAGGAGAGGGCCCGGGAGGCTGGGGGTGTCAGGTCCTGGGAATGCTGAGGCGGGCACAGGGTGTGGAGCGCTGGGTCCTCCCCGGGTAAGAAGGGGGCCCTGCCGATGGGTCCGACTGCACAGGCCTGGCACAGACAAAGGCACCAGCAGCCTGCCGGGGCGGGGAGGGGTGGCCGGGGAGCAGCTGCTGCAGGGGAGGGGCCGTGGGGCCCGGCCACCAGGGGACTACAGAGAAGAGAAAGGCGCCCCATCACCAGCCCAGCCCGAGGAGCACAAAACACAGCACACGCCCCCTCGGCCGGGGACAAAGGCTGCACACGAGCCCACCTGCCATCCCCCAAGTTAACGGGCCGGGAATGGCGGCTGTGGGGAGGCGGCCCAGAGTTAACCAGCTCCGCCTGCCCCATGCAGATGGGGAAATCGAGAGCCGAAAGAGGAAGAGCCAAGGGCACAAAGAGCAATGAGCCCGAGGTTGAGGGATGCTGCCTGGCGAGGGGTGTCTCCCGGTCTGCCCCCCTCCCCCTCTGAGCACCCTGCCTGCCTCCCACGCCTCCCCGCTCTCCTGCCTCCGGCTCAGGTTCCTCCTATGGAAAACCAGAACAGCCACGCCGACCCCTCCGGCTTGTGGCAGGGGCTGAACCCCGAGGCCGGTGTCTGGCAGGTGGATGTGTGCATCCCTGGCCCCAAGCCCTGCTGCCCCGCTGGCATCTGGGACTGAGCCTGGGACACAGAGGGGCATCGCTGCTGGCCTCTCCTGTCAGCCTAGCACCACCCAGCCGCCCCCCCCCAAGACCCTAAAACCGTTCCGGCCCTGGTGACCGGGCCAGAGGAGAAAGGACCCCAGCTGACACGTGGGCTCTGCCCGCCAGCCCTCGGGAGGGGCACTTGCAGGTCCTACTCCCTGGAACAAGGGCACCCCCGCTGCGATCAAGACAGACAGGAAGGGCCTGGGGCCACGTGAGCCCACGCTGCAGACACAAGGCCATAAACAGGAAGCCTGTGGGGAGGGCGGGCCTCGGCGGCTTCCGCGGGATGGGGGGGTGGGGGCCGGAGGGGTGTGCAGGGAGCAGGATCTCCCCAAGATGAGAGCTGTGTGGGGCGCTGGGTACAGGAGTCCCGACCGGAAGAGGGTCATTCCTTAGAGAAAGGGGTCAGCGTCAGGACCAGGACGCCCTCTCCCCACTATGGGGGCTGGGGAGGGTGGGGGGCCCCCAGGCAGCACTTCCCCTCCTGGGCTCCCGGTCACTTCCTCCCTCTGAGCCAGCCGCCCAAGTGGGGACAGCAGTGCGTTGGAGGTCTTCCTGCCACGCCCCCGGTAGTGGTCCCAACACCCCCACATCACTGACAGCCCAGGGAGGACCTGGGAGCCGGGGGGCGGGCAGGGCTGGAAGGCACAGCTTATGGGCAAAAGGCCTAAGCTGGGCGCCAGTGAGCCCCATGGGCCTCCTACAGGGACGCATCTGACACACACCAGCCCCTGTGTGAGCGCCTGTGCCCACACACACACACACATGTGCACACACCCAGCCTCGCAGCTCAGGCTCCCTGCACCCCCCACCCTGCTCCCTCAGCCCCACAGGAAGTGAGCACAGGAGGTGAGATGGCACATCCCCATTGCAGCATGTGGGCAGCCAGAGCAGGTGCGACCCCCAGCAGGCCCCACCTCGCCCTCCCTCCACGGCCACCCAGAACCAGGGCAGGACAGCGCCTAGGCCTGGGCGAGGACCGCCTGGCCTCTCTGCGGCCTCCACCCCAGCTGTCCAGCACCCACCACTGCCCCTGATGCGGGGCTGGGCCAAGGCGGGCAGGAGTGGGGCCCCCACTGCAGCAGCCGGGGAGGCAGGAACCCAGGGGGGACCCAGGAGCCTGGGGCAGAGGCCCAGCCCGGCCCCCAGAGAGGGGACGCGGTGCCCCTGCTGCACTCCTGGCATGGGAAGATGAGCCCCGGGGGGGCAGCGCAGGGCAGCTTGCCCCTGGAGGTGGCCAGGGTCCCCAGCCCCACAGAAAGGCCCCTGAGCCCTTCCAGCCAGGGGCCACTCCCAGAGCCGCCCACTTGTCACCTGTCGCCTGGTCCTGGAGACCCACGTGTCCAGCAGCAGCTCCAGGCGCGAGCGGTGGAAGGCCCGGGTGGTCTTGACCGCGATGAAGACATCAGGCAGCTGCAGAGGCCGGGGCCCAGGGCTCGGCGCGCTCAGCCCGGGGGCCTCCTGTCCCCCCTGGGGAGACCCACCCGAGAGGAAGCGCAGGACCAGGAGCCACACGCACAGGAGGCTCAGGAGAGCTGCCGCCAGGCCCCGGAGGAGCCGGCACTGCATTGGCCTCGGCCCCCAAACCCCAACCCCAGGCGAGGGGAGGCTGGTCAGGCGGGGGCCCCAGCAGATGCAAAAGCCTGGTGGGCATCGGGGGCAGGCGGGGAGGGGAGAGGCGGGAGTGGGGGCTCTGGCTGCCGCGGAGGCTGAGCCATGGCAGCCGGCCGCCAGCCCTCCACCTGCTCCGGCTGCCCGCTGCCCTCCCCACCGCCGGCTCCGGGGCTGCCCGGCCCCGCCCCTGCCTCAGCCCGAGGGGCGGGGCCAGACCCAGGGAGCCCCAGAGGTGGCAGAAGAGGAGACACCTGCTGAAGGCACAGGCTGGGCTCTGCGGCTGCGGTGGTGACAACGCGAGACCCTCCAGCCTGACCCCGCCCCACCTGGGACCTGTCAGCTTGGCTCACTCCACACTCACACATACCCGGCTTGTGCTCACTCCTCCTCCTCCAGGATGCCCTCCCCATCCTCCCCGCCGTCCCTCTGCAAGGCTGAATTCTAGACTTTCAAGCTCAGCTCAGGGGCCCCCGCCTCCAAGAAGCCTTCCCTGGTGGCCCCTCCCATCCTCTAGGGCTCCCACAGTGGCCTGCTCAGGTCAGTCTGGGTTATAGTGAAGATGTTGGGCTCAGGGGCACAGAATGACCTCAGCTGATTAGGCACAGCCGGCTGGAGCCCAGGCATCTGGTCCTCGCCTGGCCTACAGGGTCCCCGGAGGCACCTGCCCACTCCGTGCCCATCCCGCTGGGCAGCCCCCAGAGCCGCCCCTCTCCCAGCCAGGCCAGTGGCCGGGCAGAGCATCCTGCAGTCACCGCCTCGGCCGGGTTTTGCACGAGCTCACTCACTCCTCCCCCTCTGCTTGACCCCTGCCCTGGCTCCCATTTCCATCAGAAAGAAGTCAGGTGCAGCAGGTCCAGCCACCATCTTCAACGCCGGAATCCTATCAGGATGCCGGCAAGTCCTGGCTCCCTGCTAATCCACCTGGAAAAGCAGTGGAAGACGGCTCAAGGGCTTGGGCCCATACGCCTGTCTGGGAGACCCGGATGGAGTTCCAGGCTCCTGGCTATTCCCAGCACCTGCCTGTCTCAGGACACTTGCACCTGCTGTTCTCGCCCCAGCGCCCTTTCCCTAGAGACCCCGGCCCCTCTGTGCTCTTGAGGCCTTCCTTGGTCACTTTTTCAAGAATGGCAGCCCCTCTCCCCCCCTTCCCGCCCCAGGCCTGGCCCCCCCAGCACCCCACCCTGGCCTGCTTCCTCATCATCCAGTGTCCCGTGTGTGTGAAATCACTGAACGCCAACCCCACCAGGCCTAGAAGAGCTTCTGGCACTCGGTAGGAGTTCAGTAAACATTTGCTCATTAAACACAAGAAAGTACCAAACAGCTGGTGAACTGAACCGTGCCCGCTGTAGCCCAGCCCTCACTCGGGACAGTGGGGGAAGAAGAGCCCCCACCGCCGCCGCCACTGCCATCGTGAGTCCCTCTGCCACGGCCCGGTCGCTGCTCTGATATCCCCGGCTTTGCCCTACGGACTGGGGTTCAAATCCCGGCAGGGCCTGTCTAGGCATTTACCTGTAAAACGGCGACACGGGAGCGGCGGGTTCCCACCACCCACAGAAAGGCCATCTGAGACACAGCTGGTCCCTTTGCCCAGATGAACCTGACCCAGGCCCCACGCCTGGGGGCTCACATCCCGAGACAGTCACACGGACCCACCGTCCCGCCACAAGGCAGAACGTGGCATGGCCTGCATGTCCTTGGGCTTCCTGGAGGTGCTGTCTCAGCCCGGCTTCAAAGGACATTAAGCTTCAGGCAGGAAGTGGGGCTCAGGCAGGGCCAGCAGCAGCAGAGGTGGGGCAGCAGGGCAGCTGGGAGCAGATTCCAAGACCACAGCCCCGCACCCCCCTCCCACCCAGCACCCCGAGCCCCTCACAGGAGCTCAGGCCCTTTGCTAACGGCCTGCCCTGCGCGGAGGCCCAGAGCCACTCCTCCCGCGTGCCCTGCTCCCTGCTCAGCCACGAAGCCAACCCCAAACCAGGCCTCCAGGCACGCCCAGGGCCTGCCCAGCCCCGAGACCCTCCCGCCCTGGACTCCTAGGTCCACCTCACTTCCTGCCACTTCCCAGCTGGCCGTGCCCCACCCCCTTCGACCCTGAGCTTCTGCTCTTGGACCCCTCCCCCCAAACCCGAGCTCATCACTGTGACAGATGACAGCTGCCTGAGCACGGGCACACAGGTCCAAAAGGTACCTCCTCCCGTAAGGCTGCCTGGATTGTTCCCACTGGAGGCAATTGTCCTTTGGGGGCTGGGGAGAGGGGGCTGCCCCAGGCACTCAGGTGCACACAGAGGGTCTGTCCTTGGTCTCCTGCACCCAGCGGCTGGCCCCTTAAGCCAGACCACGCCCTGCTGGCTTCAGCATCCCGGCTCCACAGGACGCCCCTTTGATGATCAGCCGCGGGTGGGCGCTGAGCACTGGGTGGCCCATCTGGGGGCCTCCGCCCGTCACCCGGGCAGGTAAGGCGACGCCAGCACAGATGGCGGGCGGCTGTGGGAAGTCAGGAGGGAAATCTGACCCCACGGGCAAGCAGGGACCTGAAAGGTGGGATCAGCCTGGGTGGGGGTGGGGACAAACAGGAGGGGAGCGAGGCGGCGCCGGGCCAGGGATACCAGCAGGCGGAGGGCACTGGTGTCTATGACAAATGGAGTTTAATGGTCCTTAGTGTTCTCAGTGGAAAAGACCGGCGAGTGAACCACACACCACCGAGCGTCTGGGGGTGGGACAGGGAGCGCACACCATGACGTGTGCTCACCGGGAACACACGGCTGTCAGTGCCCGAGTATCTCGGGCCAGGAGCTTGACATTTGCACAGGGAAGAACCACAGACACACCAGTGAGGTGAGGAGACGGGGCACAGACAGAGAGAAGGCAGCCCCGAAGTGCCGGTGCGCAGGTCACACGAGATACGTAACAGAAACCACGTGGTGCTGAGCTCTGGGCTCCAGGCTCCAGGCCCCGGCAGGAACAGGCTGGGGACTCAGTGGAGGGACTGAACCTGAGCCTGCATGAGAACTTGTGTGTGCAAACCTGTGCACCGGGGGGAGAACTCAACTCCATGGTGAGGGTCAAGGTCAGGCCCCAGCCCACACAGAGCAGCAAGTGTGGGGTCCTGTGTGCCACAGGCTCCCCAGGGCCTCGGGTCAACTCAGATTTCAGGGCCCAGAGCCCGGGGTCCCACGTCTGCCGGTGCAAGGGTCCACGGCTGACCCCGGGCTCCCCGTAGGCTGGCAGCTTCTGTGGGCGAGAGGAAGCCACAGGCGGCAGCCGTCCCTCCATCAGGCCTCGCTGCTGCTCTGACAGCCGCGGCTGCTGCCACGCTCCACCCACACGAGGCGGGCCTGCTCCTGCAGGATGCGGCCGCGAACCACCTTGGCCAGCTCCTCGGCGTGGGCCCACGCGTGGGCGGGCACCTGCACCCAGGAGCAAGGCAGTCCCCAGAGCACCTGCTCCGAGCCGCGGCACTGCCGCAGCAGCTCCGAGTCACGCCAGCCCGGCCGGCCCAGCAGACCCCTACAGAGAGAGCAGAGCGGGGCAGCGGTCAGAGCTGACGCGGGGAGACTCGGGCCGGCACCCGGAGGGGAGGGGGCTCCACAGGCCCCGCCCCACCTGACTTCCCGGATGTTCTTCTCGGTGACCTCCACGTGGATGACGATGGGGTAGATGTCATTGTGAACCAGTTCCCGCACGCCCCGGGCGCCCAGCTCCAACAGGCAGTGCTTCTGCTCGGAGGATGGGGGGGGGGGGACACATTTTATTCATCAGCCTCCCCGGGCCCCGCCCCAGACGGCGTCACTCCCATCCCAGCCCCTAGGAGCAAGTCCTGCTGCCCCACCCCCAACAGGAGCTCAGGCAGCCAGCAAAGAACCCACGAGGGGAGACTGAGGCCCTGGAGAAAGGTCACAGCCCCTGCAGACCCCAGCCTCCCCTCCCACCCACCGCCCCAGCACCTACCTTCCCGACAGACTCCTGGATGGCACGGATCCTGCTGCCCAGCCCAGGGGTGGCAGGCCGGGCCTTGGGGGCTCCAGGCGCCGATGGTGTGCACTGCTCATCCCCGGAGAGGCTTTCTGTACGGGGAGAGGGAGAGGCGGGCCCCAAGGGCCATGGGCCTGGCTGCCCAGAGCGCCCCCCAGCCCTCTCTTCCCAGGGACACAGGCTCACCCGCAGGGCACACTTGGAAGTCCAGCCGGGAGCTGGGCAGGTCAAGCAGGTTGCGGATGAGCCGGGGCGCCAGGCACTCGGGCAGCAGCACCACAGGCCGCAGGGCGGACACCAGCAGTGGCCGCACCAGGCTGTAGGGTTTGAGGCTGCGCTCTGGCTCTGGGGGGGGCGGGGAGGGGGTGCCAGAGAGGTGAGGATGCAGGCAGGGGTGTGTCTCCCACCGACGGCCCTCCCCTGTCGGATCTTTGTGTGCCCTTCCTGGGCGCTGCTGTTCACACACAACACACACACACACACACGCCCCAAGGGTGCCTCCTCCCTCACTCTCTGGGACCCTTGCTCTGGGTTCCTCCCTAAGCCTCCGCCTCACCTCTGCCCCCTACAGGTCATTCTGCACGCAGCAGCCAGAGAAGGAATTGCAATGCTGAAGTCCCGTCAATGAACTCCCCAGTGACTTCCCAGGTTCCCAGGGAGAGGGCCACACCCTCCATGCAGGGGTCCTGCCTGATGCAGCCCTGCCGGGCAGCCTGGGAGGGGGATGGCACCCACAGACGCCCCTGCTCCTCGACTCTGCTATCAGGTGCCTGCCTTTTTGTGCCTGGGGATTACCCAAAGTCCACCTCCCTTCAGAGCCCAGGCCACACGTGACCTGCTCCCCCAAAGGGAAGTGCCCCTGGCACATGCTCCAGGGAACCCCAATCTCCTGTGTCCCCCACTACACAGTCAGCCCCCCCAGCACACCTAGAGCTGGATTTGATGCCCCTGTGCTGGACCAAAAGCCCCCAAACACCCACACGGCGAGCCCCTGGGCTTCGGCACAGCCCAGAACAAAGCTCTCCCCAGCCTCGAAGGCCCGGTTCCAGCGTTCTCTCTTCCAGGAAGTCCTCCCTGACCACCTCCCCCATTGCCCCGCACGACTGCTCCCCTTCTGGGCTCCCCCAGCTCCTTGTCCCGGCTCTGGCCTAAGGCCTCCTCCCGCTGCCTTCAGGCAGCCCCTGTGCGGCCCCCACGGCACCTGCCAGCACACACGCCGCCAAGCACAGCTCCACACGCTCAGCCAGACACAGGCCCACGGTCCCAGTCCCACACACACATGCACCTGCCGCAGGGTCTCCTCTCACCACGGGGGGGCGCCTGTCTCTCAGGCCCCTGCCCTCACAACGGGCCCTTCCAGGCCAAAGGGACCCTGAGCCACGACCCTCGTGGTCACGGCACACTCACCTGAGCAGGGCTCCACCAGCAGCTGTTCCGGGCAGTCTCCTGCGGGACCCCCCACCGGCTTGGGCCTCACCAGCCGCAGCTGGTCCAGGGCTCGCTTCTTCAGCTGGGGGTGGGGGTGCAAGGAAAGAAAAGCACCTGAGAGGCCGGCGCCGCGGCTCACTAGGCTAATCCTCCACCTTGCGGCGCCGGCACACCGGGTTCTAGTCCCGGTCGGGGCGCCGGATTCTGTCCCGGTTGCCCCTCTTCCAGGCCAGCCCTCTGCTGTGGCCAGGGAGTGCAGTGGAGGATGGCCCAGGTGCTTGGGCCCTGCACCCCACGGGAGACCAGGAAAAGCACCTGGCTCCTGGCTCCTGCCATCGGATCAGCGCGGTGCGCCGGCCACGGCGGCCATTGGAGGGTGAACCAACGGCAAAGGAAGACCTTTCTCTCTGTCTCTGTCTCTCTCTCACTGTCCCCTCTGCCTGTCAAAAAAAAAAAAAAAAAAAAAAAAGAAAAGCACCTGAGAGCCCGGCCGCCCACCCTGGGGAGAGGGGAGGAGAGGGGGCCCAGGCAGAGCAGGCCCCCCTGCCCCCGCAGGCCAGGCACACGGAGGAGGGGCCCGGCCCAGCCTCCCTGGCACGCGGCCCAGGGAAGCAAGGCCGTGGGAGCCAGCTCAGGAGCCTTATCTAGACTCCACTTTACAGATGGGAAGACTGAGGGCCAGAGACCAAAGGGACCCTTGTGTTACCCCTGAGAGACCAACTCTGGGTTTTTGCGCAGTGGGACCTAGATGGGGAGAGCAGTGAACCTGCTCCCAGCAGTACTGACCAGAGCAGCACCTGACGGCCAGAGAGCGCTGGCCGGCCGCAGGTCAGATGCCGGCCAGCCGCTGACCGCCTGGGGCGGGCCCATTTCACAGCGGGGCAAACAGAGCCTCCAGCACCTCACAGGCAGAAAGGAGCAGGGAGGGAGTCCAGGCCAGGCGGCCTCCCCCAGGGCCACGCCCTCACGGCTCACCAGGGTCACCTCCCCTGGCCCAGGGGCCCAGCCCAGCCTTCGCCCAGGGCCTGGGCGGGGGGCGGGACTACAGCTCCATCCCAGGCCCCCAAGCACTGGGCACTGAGCACAACATCTGCTCTCCCTCCCAGGGCTGCCGGAGACTGCCGCCTCCCTCCCTCCAAGCCCCGCCCCCCAGCCCTGCTTACGTTATTGCGGGGGCTTCGGTGGCGGCTGGAGGGCAGGCACTTCTCCTGGACTTCCAGGAGCTGCTGGGCTCTGCGGGAGGAACTCGGGTCATGCATTTGTTAGGGGCGGGGGGCTCCCCGCAGCCTGTCTGCAAACCTCACCCCTGCCAGGGGACAATGCGAACCCCACACCGGCCCCGGCCCCTGGCAGCACCTCACCTCTGGTAGTTGGGCACGGTGCCCCGGTCCAGGTCCCGCAGCGTGAGGGGGTCCACGCGGGTGCAGAACCACTCCTGCCGGCGCTTGTAGGCTGGGTCCACCAGCCGCAGGATCTCCTGCGCCTTCACGCACAGGGCGTGCGGGTCAGCCCGCTCGGGCAGGGTGAGGTTGGCTCGGATGTAGAAGGGCTCAGCCCCCGGCCCCTTCGCCCAGGCATCCAGGGCCTCATGGAAGGACTGGCAAGCTGGGCGGGGTGGGCAGGACAGCAGAAAGAGGAGGATGCTGGGATCACAGGAGCCCACCCCTCGAGTGAGGGACAGGTCCCAAGGCCACCAAGCCCTCGAGGGGCACAGCCAGGACTCAAGCCCAGGTCTCTGGACCAACACGAGCTCCCTCCACTGTCGGCAAAGGCACGGGAATAGATGCAAGGAGGTGGGAGACAGGAGACCAGCGCCTCCATGGGCCTCAGTTTCCCTACCTGCACTATGAGCTCTTGGGCCATTGCCCCTGACCTTCCAGGACCCGTGAGCTCCTGCCCCCCCCCGCCCCCGCCACACTTACCCTTGGAGTCCCCCAGGAAGGGCAGTGTGGACCCCTGGCTCCAGGGCAAGGTTCTCTGCTGGGACTCGGCCTCCAGGCACGCCCCCTCCTGGCCAGCGGCCTCCGCCCTCAGCTGGGAGAAAAGGCAGAGTGAGTCTCCTAGGGAGGAAGACTGGGGGTGGGGGTGGCCACACCCATCACTCACAGGGCAGCCGTGCCCACCACTCACGCCCTGCTCCCATCCACAGCACCCCTCAGCCAGCCCTGCTTAGCGGTCAGGATCTGCTGAGTGCTGTCAATCTGCCCCACCTCCCAGCCCCTGCCCAATCAGACTTCAGTTAATGCTGGCTGGGGCGGGGCAACCACTGGGGCGGGGTTAACCACTAAGCAAGCTTCCCCAGAAGCTCCACCCAGTGTCCTGGCTCCACCAATCAGAAAGCACCCATCCCGGGCTAAAGCACTGGCTCCACCCCTCCCAGCTCAGGGGCGGAGCCCACCTCACCTCTCTTGGTTCGGTCCTGGCAGACCCAGGCCCAGACAGCACCCTGCGTACCACTGCCCCAGACCATCTGTCCCCAAGCAGTGATAGGCAGTCTGGGCCCCTGTCTGGGGACTCTGGGCCCCCTGGGGGGCTCCAGCCAGACACCCGGATGGCCAGAGACCTGGAAAGAGAGAAGGGGGTGGGCGGGAGAGGCCCATGGGTCCTCTGATTCAGTTCAGCACTCCTGGACAGCCACAGTGATTCCATTACCCAAGTACGCCTCGGCCCCCACGTCCGGGCCACTGCACCTGCTGGGCCCTCTGCTGGGGCTGCCCCTCCCCCTGTCCTTTCTGCCTGGCAAAGGCTGCTCCTCCTCACCATGACTTTCCGCTCCCTCTTGCCCCTCACCTCCATCAGACTCAGCACCAGACCTCCCTGGTGCTGTCTGCACCCCCAGTGCCTGCCCAGCATCTGGCACACGGCAGATGGGGTCTCACACACAACAGATCAGGAGATGGCGACAGCTGGCAGCAGGTGCACAGAGCAGAGGGGCTTCCCAGGGACCAAGCACCTGCACCTCGCTCTGGTGAGGAAGAGATGGCCTTGGGAGACAGCCGAAGGAGCGGCGTGAGGAAAGGCACGGAGGACAGCGCACAGGCGGCGAGGACAGCTTGCCAACGACGCCGATGACAACAGCAACAGTAGCAGCAGCACTTCGGGGGGTGCCAGACGCCACACTCAGCTCCCTGCCCCGATGACGAGATGACTAATTTCACACCCTGGGGAGCGTCTCGCAGAAAACGCAATCCACGGGGCCGGCGCTGCGGTGCAGCGGGTTAAAGCCCCAGCCCGCAGTGCCGGCATCCCATATGGGCGCCTGTTAGAGTCTGGCTGCTCCTCTTCCGATCCAGCTCTCTGCTATGGCCTGGGAAAGCAGCAGCAGATGACCCAAGTCCTTGGGCCCCTACACCCGTGTGGGAGACTCAGAAGAAGCTCCTGGCTCCTGGCTTCAGATGGGTGCAGCTCCAGCCATTGTGGCCAACTGGGGAGTGAACCAGCAGATGGAAGACCTCTCTTTGTGTCTCTAACTCTCTCTGTAACTCTTTCAAATAAATAAAATAAATCTTAAAAGAAAGAAAGAAAAGACAACACGCAGCCAGCCTGGGGAGGGGTCCGGCCTTGCCCCCGTGGGCAGTGGGAGCCGCTGCATTCAGACGGAGTCACTCAAGATCCCCAGTGTGCCAGGGTCCCGGATGAGAACAGGAAGGGCCCTGTGGCCAGGCTCGGAGGCAAACTGACCCTAAGTCCATTCAAGGAGCCCCTGGCCACGGGAGGGAATAAACCAGGGCCAGAGGCAGTTGGACCAGTGGGAGGAGGGGCGGCCAGCCTGGAGTGCGTGAGGCTGCAGGGAAATTGACCCTGTCAGCACCCCTGGAGAGCAGGAAACTCGGCCCCAGAAGCCCTGTCTCAGCCCCTACGCAGAGAGCCAGGATCAGCCCCAGCCAGTGCTGGCCACGGCCAGGTGGCACAAAGCCGGGACAGGGTCAGAGGGCCTGAGATGGGCCTGTTATTCTGGTCAAGGGCCGTGTAGACGGACGAATGCGGTGCAGCCCAAAGCCAGGTGAGCAGTGCCCTGGACCCAGGCAAGTGAGCCAGTGGCTGGCGGCTCAGCCACGGCAGTGGGCGGTGAGGTCCTACCGCGGGGCGGGGTCAGAGGCAGGGAGGGGCAGAGCAGATGGACGAATGGTCCACAGGCTCCGGGGCTGGGACACCCGGCAGGCTGTGAGTGACCCTGGTTTGTAGCAGAACGCACCAGGAAACAGGAGCCTGGCCCCGGTCCCCGGGCACAGCCACCTGCTGTCCCACCAACACGTGCTGCAGGCATGAGTGCCCAGGGCTCTACGGGAAAGCCACACGAGGGGACCCGCAGCCTGGCTCCGGAGCCGCTGCCACTCGGCTCCCTCCTCTCCTCCAGCTGTGCAGTGAGCCATGCCCAGCCAATCCACCGCGCTCCAGGAGAGGGAGAAGCTTCCAGAGAGCGTGGCCGGGACACCTTCTCCCCAGCCTCAGGGTCAGGGAACGCAGCGAGCAGCCTGTTCCCGGCCCGGTCCGCCCCACGCCGTGGACTCGGCCCCGCCAGGGTTTCTGGCTCTTCCTGCCAACTCCTGCTGCCCGCCACGGACCCAGTCCGGGCACCTGCACAGAGCGGGAAACCCGTGCTGAGCACATGCCCGCCCGAGGGCCTGGAGAGGCCGCCTGCAGGATGACAGGGACCGGGTTACAGACGGGAGCCCCCTCGGCCGGGGCCGGGGCAGATAAGTGTGGGGGCACTGCCTACTCCAACCCCTCCCTGCACCGAGACGTCAGGTGGGGGCTCCCAGCCCCTCCCCCAGTCAGGGCAGGGGCTCTGTGGGCTCCAGGGCTGATGGCCAAGTGGCCTCAGTGAGTGACAGGGCGCTAGGGGAGGAGTCCCCAGAACACTGAGAACGGTGGATGCTGACACCGCATCTGCACATTCCCCACTTGGCCCTGCCCCCAGCACCCCAACGGGGGCGTCTGCCGTCACCCCACGTTACAGGTGAAGGAAACTTAGCAACAGAAGTGCCATGTGCCAAGGGTGGCACAGCGGGGACAGGAAGACCAGGCAAGGGACTCCCAGAACCCTCTCTGTGCCAGGACCAAAGGCACCCGGACCCCAGATGCTGGGAGAGGCTGAGTAAGGGCAGCAGGATGGGGCCCGGCAGGCAGCCGGCACCCGCGATGGCCAGCGCTCTCCCCGCCCCTACTACTCCTCGCCACCTGTCTGTCCACCCCCCTGCCCACCCCAGACAGCCCACATTGCCTGGCCCCAGGCCCAGACAGGGCAGCAGAGGGAGCTCAGAGAGCAGAGAGACCAGCGACAGGAGAGAGGTGGAGCCCCCAGCACGGGCCAGAGCAGCTCGGACAAAGGCAGGCACACGGATCACCAGCGCAAGCAATCTCCGACATGGGGCGGATCACTGATCCTCTGTGGGCCTCCCGGTCTGCATCTGTGTAATGGGCGGATCGCTGATCCTCTGTGGGCCTCCCAGTCCACATCTGTGTAATGGGCGGATCGCTGACCCTCTGTGGGCCTCCCAGTCCGCATCTGTGTAATGGGCGGATCGCTGATCCTCTGTGGGCCTCCCGGTCCACATCTGTGTAATGGGACTAAGGACAGCAGCCTTGCAAAGCTGCTGGGGGGTAAGATTGGCCACGGCAAACAGCTGGGAGCCAGCAACAGGTTCAGCGTCCCCCAGGGGCCAGGCCACTAGAAGGAATGCCGGGGGCTGGGCGTCTCGCCCGGCGGTCAGCGAACCACTGGAACCAGGTCTCCCAGAGCAGAGCACCTGGCTTCCACCACCAGCTCCCTGCCGATGGACACCACGGAGGCGGTGGCGACGGCTCTAGGACTGGAGCCTCCAGCACCGACATGGGAGACCTGGATGGAGCTCGCGGCTTCTGGCTGTGGCCTGCCCAACCCTGGCTGGTGAGATTTCTGTGGAGTCGACCAGCAGATAGGAGATCTCTCTCCCTCTCTCCCTCTCTCCCTCCCTCCCTCCCTCCCTCCCTCCCTCTCTCTCTCTCAAGTAAATTGTATATTTTGCTGTTGTTGCTGCTGAAGCAGGAATACTGGAGCCCCCGCAAGGACCCTAGGGGACAGGCACTACTATGCTTCCATTTCACAGAGCGGGAGACTGAGGCACTGAGAAACGGACTTGCTAAGGTCCCCTGGTACCAAGCAACAGGGCTAGGATTTGAGCCACCGCAAGTGGCTCGAAAGCCTCTCTCGTCACCTGGCCCTGGGACGCTGCGCGCCACCCTCACCCAGGCTCCTGTGCCCTCATCCACCACCCGTCCCATTCCAGGGTCCCCCCCACCCCAGGAACAGAGGTGGTGGCCCCACGTGATCTTGGGGCCCAAGCAGGGGCCAGGCAGGGCCTCCTGCTCCCTCCTCTGCATCCTGGCGCCCCCTGGACGGCAGCCAGGCCCCCTGCTGCAGGCCCCGCTGGAGGAAGGGCCCCCGCAGGCAGGAAGGGAGGCGCCTCCGCCCCTTCCCCCAGAAGGCGTCCTGCGCAGGCAGAAACAATGTGGCGCTGGGCCGGCTGCCCAAGCTGGGGGGCAGGGCCATGGCCCAGCCTCCAGCCTGGCCAAGCTGCTTCCCCCAGCCCTGCCCCGCCCAGACCTGCTGTGTGACCTGTGTGACCTGTCCCCCTGCCCAGCGTCCCCACATTCCAGTTCTACCATTCGATGCCGCCTACGCCCCTTTGCAAACCCCAAACCGCTGGGGACCTGGCCCTGGTACTTCTCAGCTGTGTGCCCTCGGGCAGGCTGCTTAACCTCTCTGGGCCTCAATGCCCTGCTCCTCTGTTAAACAGGGATTGTCGTCATAATACTCACTGCTGCCACAGAAGGTTCCCAGGACGCCCGGGGTGGACAAGCCAATGGCCACACTCCCAGCCTGGCTCAGGAAGCTGCCCGCCTCTCCCCTCTCCCCTCCCTGGCCAGCCTCTGCTGCCTCCCTCCCCTCAGCTGCTACCCCTCCACGGCCACACGGCCAGCCATGGTCCCACTACCCCCACCCTCCTGAGAGCCACTGGCACCAACAGGGGCCACCACGGAGCACGTCACCTACGACGCCGTGTGTAACGGCTCCTGTCCCAGGCCAGAGCCAGCCCCACCCTCAGCTCAGCCGGACGGCAGGGCCGAGCCGGGAGCTCAGGCAAACAGGACGGTGGAATGAGGGCGCCTGTGCCTGACACCTACTGTATACAGAGCACCTACTAGGTGCCTGGCAGCGCTGAGGGCTTCGCCCACACGAGAGGGGCCCAGGGAGGTAAGGTGACCAGCCCACACCACACAGGCGACCAGCGGTGGTGACAGGTTTTGAACTCAGACCTGCCAGTATCTAAAAACCTCACTGTCCCTCAGTCTCATCCTGCCCTCCCCCGCCCCCCAACTCCAGGCCCTGAGGGCCACCTGCAGCGCCACCAGCAGGTGCAGTACCTGTTGATGAGGTCCAGGCCGCAGCCCCGGGTCGCGGGGCCTTCCGGCTTTCCCAGAGGCCACACGCTGTCAGAAGACGACGACGAGGAGAGGCCGGGGGACCAGGGCTTCAGCGTCACACTCCCTGGGGAGGTAGACGCAGGCTCAGGAGTGGCCCAGGTCCCAGAAGCCCCAGGAGCACACGGGACCCTCCCCCACCCCCACCCCACCCCCATCCAGGGTTGGGCCAGGGCCGGCTGGGGATGCCTGCTGCCCGGAGCCTGGGCCACAACGGAGTTGCCCGTTACAGCACAGCCAGGAAGGGCAGGGAGGGCTGGGGCTGGGCCCAGGCGAGAGGCCTCCAAGCACGGCCTCGGGAAGGGGGCACCGACCAAGGGCAGAGCAGGTGCCACAGGCCCCAGGCAGGCTGGCTGCACAGTCCCTCCCCTCCTCCGTGGCGTCGCCGGCGCTGTCACCTGTGATGTCCGACATGCTGCTAAAGGACCTGGGTGGGGACAGGGTGGGGGCAGGGGAGGTCCAGTGAGACTCCGCCCCACTCCTTCCTCCTGCCCCCGGCCCCCCCAAGGCAGGGACTCAGGGCACCCAGAGCCCCTATAGTCAGAGCAAGCCTCCGTCTGGTCAGTACAGGGACGTCAGCCAGGGCTGACGAGAAGAGGACGCCTCTGGGAGACCAGCGGGCCCCGCCCCTCGCCACGTTCTCGGTGGCCCCCAGCCTACCTACCTCTTAGGGGGCGCGGGGTCCTCCTCGCGCTGCCGCCGGAGGATGGAGCCGGCACTGGGGGGGAAGGGCAGGATGGAGAGCCGGTTGATCTCCTTCTCGCTGTCGGTGGCTTCCTCCTGCAACGTCACCATAAAGCGCCGGTCACCCCACTGCCCAGCGCAGTCCCCGTGCCGCGATGCACCTGCCTGCTGCCCTGCCCACAGATGACACCCAGGGACGGAGTGCAGGAGCAGGCCCTGCAGGGTCACAGGGAGGGAGCGGTCCCCGGGCCCCGCACATGGGCTCGGGGTGAGCTGAAAGAAGGCACATGGCAGGGCAGATGCTCCCGGGGACACGCGGCACCATGCAAACAACGGAACACGCAGCCAGGACAGCAGGACCCGCTGCAGCGCCTGAACTCAGCCCCGGCTCGGCTTCCGGTTAACGCACAGCCCGGGGAGCAGCAGTGATGGCTCAAGTCCTTGGGTCGCTGCCACCCACGTGGGAATCCCAGATCGAGTGCCAGGCTCCTGGCTGCTGTGGGCACTGGGGGCCTGCCCCACAGAGGGAAGACCTCTGCCTACTTCTCAGATACACAGAGAATTCTCTGAAGGGTTTCTGGCCTCCACGGGCCGCGGTGTCGTCACCTGTGACTCAGAGCCAGGGTCAGTAATTACGCGAACGTTATGGGCAGCTGAGCCCCGTATCTGGGGCGGGCTGGGCGTCTTACCGAGGTGAGGGGCTCAGAGCCGCCTGTGCCGGCCGCGTCCCCAGCTGCTTCCGGAACTCCTAGCGGGGAGGGGAACTCACTGAGGCTCCAGGTGCTGCTGAGGTTGGAGCACAGGGAATGGGAGGAGGCGCAGGCCTGGAGAGGGGGAGGGGAGAGAGGTGGTGAGCCGCGCTGGGTCCGTGCCACGTGCCAGGCGCGGGGAGCCTGAGCCCTGCCCTTGCGCTGCTCGCAGCCCCCAGGGGGAGACAGACTGTAAACCAGCGAGAGATGAACAAAACCACTCCAAGCTGCAGATCACGAGGGAAGTGGCCAGGCCGTGCAGAGTCCTCACGGGCCCCACCCAGCCAAGAAGCACCTGTGCTTTCCAGGGAACGTGGGTTCTGAGAGTCCAAGCTATGTCACAGCTGGGGAGGAGGGTCCCAGCAGCCCGGACAGCATGTGCAAAGGCCCTGAGGCAGGACTGTGCCCCATTCCGGGGATTAAAAAGCTGTGACTCATAGCAACAGGCTACAGGGAGGAAAGCTCAAACCTGCTGGGCCTCTCTGGCATGAAAAGGGGCTCTGCGTTTACCCAAGAACAAAAAAGGCACCATGGGGCCAGGGCTGCGGTGCCGCAGGTTAAGCCTCCACCACCGTCACGGGTATCCCATATGGGCGCAGGTTTGAGTCCTGCTTCCTGTCCGGCTCCCTGCCGATGCACCTGGGAAGGCAGCGGGCCACAGCCCGAGTGCTTGGGCCCCTGCACCTCCGTGGGAGATCGGATGGAGCTCCTGGCTCCTGGCTGTGGCCTGGCCCAGCTCAGAGCCTGCTGAGCCACACCTTCCCAGCCTGGGCCCCAGCACTCCCAGCCCCACCAGGTCTCCCGCCAGCTCCTGCCTGGTTTGGGGCCCCCACTCACCTTGAGGCAGGACCCGCCCTGGGCCCGCTGCAGCTGAGCCTCGAGCAGGGCCTTGGCGCCCTCCAGGCTGGTGAGCGTGGTCAGCAGCTCGTCCCGCTCGGCCTCCAGGCCCCGCACCTGCTTGCGGTACTGGTCCTTCTCAATGAGGCTCTGGGAGTACTGCAGCTGGATGCGGTCGCGGCTCTGGATGGCCTGGGGGGAGGGGGGAGGGGGGCGGGGGAGTGAGAGAGGCGGGCAGCAGGGGGCGCTGTCCCGGCCTCCGATCACGAGCACAGGAACAACGCTAAAACGCGCACTTCCAATGGGCCGGGCCCGTCGGCGGATGGAGGCGCAGGGACCACACCGCCCCGCTGCAGGCTCCCAGGCTCCTGCCAGTCCACCAAGACTTGACTCCCTCGCAGGAGACCCACTGGGTGCTTGCCAGGCGCTCTCCTCACAGCATCCCGATTGGAGGGGTCAAGCCCCGCCCACTGCATCCCCCACCCCCTCCGCGCCCGGGCTGTTCCCCAGGATGAAGACCTGGTCGCTGAGCGCTGGGCCCACGGCGCTGCCTTGGAGGGAGCTGGGGCCAGAGGCCCGAGGGGATTGGCAGCAGCCTGGTGACACAGAAGCCCGGGCCTCGCCTCAAGGCATCCCAATCAGGACATCCAGGGAGGAACCCCAAATCCAACCTTAGCCACGCCCACCAGGGGGATCGGAGCCACGCCCACCAGGGGGATCGGAGCCACGCCAATGTGTAGACTTGAACTCCCCTGGCAGGACACACACTCGCTCAAGGACAAAACCCCCTGCCCTCCTCCCCCACGGAGAACCACACACACACAGGCGGGCGGGAGCCCTCGGCCCCTCGCAGTCTTGGCAAGTGACAAGGGCCACGGTGCCAAGGACCGGCAGCCAGACTTGGGAAGATTTCTTCATTGGCAAATATTTGCAAACACCTCCAGCGTCAGCTCTGTCCTTGAGACGCAGAGAACAGGCGAAGCAGAAATCGAGGCTGCCAGGCCCAATTTCCTAACCGGCACAGGTGCTCAGCTGAGACAGGTGGGCTCAGGGAGCGAGGCTGGCACCGCCAGCCCACGGGGCTGCGTCTGTGTCCCCCAGCCGGCCTGCCCACCCTGCACCGCTCAGCACACCGTTGGCATCTATTTCCACAACCATGGATGCACCAGCTTCTCCCTTCTTAAAATGTTTCCTGCAACACCCACATCTCATATGGGAGCATGGGTTCAAGCCCCGGCTGCTCCGCTTCTGATCCAGCTCCTGGCTAGTGCGCCTGGGAAAGCAGCAGAAGATGGCCCAAGTGCTTGGGCCCCTGCACCCACATGGGAGACCCGGATGGAGCTCCAGGCTGCTGGCTTGAGCCTCAACCAGCCCCAGCTGTTGTGACCACTGGGGAATGAACCAGAGGATGGAAGATCCCTTTCTCTCTCCTCTCTCTGTCACTCTGCCTTTCAAGTAAATAAATCAATCTTTATTTTTTTTTTTATGAATCACCAGCAACTCAAGTGTATGGTGTTTTTGTTTTTGTTTTTTTGACAGGCAGAGTTAGACAGTGAGAGAGAGAGAGAAAGGTCTTCCTTCCATTGGTTCACTCCCCAAATGGCCACCACAACCGGCACGTTATGCTGATCCGAAGCCAGGAGCCAGGTGCTTCTCCTGGTCTCCCATGGGGTGCAGGGCCCAAGCACTTGGGCCATCCTCCACTGCACTCCTGGGCCACAGCAGAGAGCTGGCCTGGAAGAGGAGCAACCAGGACAGAATCCAGCGCCTCGAACAGCACTAGAACCCGGGGTGCTGGCACCGCAGGTGGAGGATTAGCCCAGTGAGCCACAGCACCGGCCTAAATCAATCTTTAAAGATTAAATAAATACAAAGTTCCTGGGACCTCCTGTGTGCCAGGGGCTTTCGTCATAGCATCCTGATTGGTGCAGGAGCCGGGAGTCAAACCCCGCCCACTGCAGCAGGTGCAGGCTCACCTGGTCCCGCTCCTTCTCAATCTCCTCCAGCTGCGCCAGGACAGTGGCCATGCGGTGCTTGTACAGGTCACAGTCTTTCTGCAGCGTGCGGTGCTTCAGCCGCAGGTCCTCCATCTCCTGCAGGTACTGCGGGCGGGCGAGCGGGCAGGGCGGGCTCAGACCCCAGGGCTGGGGATGGCGAGCGCCGACCAGCCAGCGCCCAGCGGGTCAAGGAGCAGAGGCCTGGGCCCTAATGACAGGGCCGTCTGGGCCACTGACCTCACCTCACTGGGCCTCAGCTGCCCCATCTGTAAAATGGGGGAACGGTACCGATGGCACCCAGGAGGGGCCAGCCTTGCCTCCGCGCCTCAGCCTGCTCCCTGCCCTGCCCTGCCGCCCGCCTCGCCTGTGGCTTCTGCCACACTGCCCATCTCCCTGCTCCGATCCACAGTCCTCTGTGTTGTTCACGGCTGTGTCTCAAGTGCCCCAGAAGGCGGCTTCCATCGCACGCCTGGCTCCTAGCACAGGGCCCGTAGCCAGCTGCGCTGAGGAACGTGCCCCTCCCACTCCCAGGAGCCAGGCGTCAGCAGGGGCCGCGCCGGGGGGGGGGGGGGGCTACCTTGTCCCGCAGCTCCTCGGCCCACTGCAGCTCCCCCTGCACGGCCAGCAGCTTCTGGCACAGCTCCTGCCTGCTGTCCTGCGCCTCCCGCCAGTCGTGTTCCAGGATGTCCAGCAGGATGCGCTCGGAGCCTGGGGCCCCCGGCCGGCTCGCCTCCTGGGGATCGGGGTTCAGGACTGCCTCAGCAGCTGGCCCAGGGCCCACCTGGGGTGTGGGGAGGAAGGGGCACACGCAGCCCTTGGCACCCCCGCCCCACCAGCTCTGCCATCTTGGCCTAGGCCTCAACCTCTCTGGAGCCTGGCTTCCCCCCAGGGGCCTGGGTGTGGCCCAGCCGCGAGGGCGGGCTGGGGCAAGTGCAGCCAGGATCTCTCGTTCCCAAACAACAAGGAGACCCACCCACCGAGGGCCCAGGGCCTGACGGTCGTTTCCAAGGCCTGTGCCCACGCCCCTGATGGGGGGGTTCTTCACGAGACTATGCCTGAGCCTGGCCCAGGCACGAGGACCCTGGGCCCAAGCTCTAGCCCCCAGACCCACACCTCCACCAGGAGCCTCCAACCCCTGGAACTCCCCGGCTCCCACCCCACTTCCGGTATGGCGCCTCGGCCAGGAAGCTACTCCCAGCCACGGGACACCAGGAGAGCCCCAGGCCCACCCGGCTCATCCTGCCGGAGCCACGGACCCCTCACAAATCCAAGTACAGGGTCGGGGTGGGGACGCTCCTCATGCTCAAAATCAGCCGCAGGGCTTCACAGAGCACAAAGGTGGCCTGGGGGCCACCGGCAGCCCCTGGGCCGAACGCCCTCCGCTCAGACGAGAGGCCAGCCAGGCTCCCACCCAGGTCTCAGGCCCCTGGTTCGGAAGCCCTCGCCTTTCCTGGCCTAGGGAGGACAAGTGAGAAGCAGGGTCCCCCACCCCCGCCAGCCCGGCCCCGGCACCTGCTGCAGGCCCTGCTGCAGCTCCTGCAGGGACGCCGTCAGCCGCTGGTTCTCGGCGCGCAGCTCGGAGACGAGGTCCACGCTGTCCGGCTCCTTCTCTCTCTCCTTCTCCTCGCTCCCGGCGTGGGGGCCCCTGGCCCTCCGCAGCAGGGTGCACTCTTCCTCCAGCCGGCTCACCTTGAGCTTGAGCTGGTCCACCTGCGGCCCAAGACACGGGTCAGCCCAGAGAAGGACCCGCTGGCAGGGCCGGCGCGCCCTCCAGGTGTGTGCGCGTGGTGGGGGCGCTGATCCCCAACCCGGGGGCCTCTGGATTCCCAGACGGGCATGAGCAGGAGGGGCAGGCTGGACACCTGGGACGTGAGGAGGGAGAAGGGAGGGAGAGAGGCAGGCAACAAGGCCAATGCCAAGGCCACCCTCCCAGGTGCACCTGCTTCAAGGACTGGTGGGCGGATGGGCGGTGTCACAGCCAGAATGCCCCACACTTCTGACACTGAGTACCTTCAGCATGACAGGGAGGGGGAGGGGGAGGAGGAGGTGGAGGGAGGGAGGGGGTGGGGGAATGACCATGACGACACTGCCTAAAAACAGGGCGATCAATCCATCTCCCTGCTATGGCCCAGGAAGGCAGTGGAAGACGGCCCAAGTGCTTGGGCCCCTGCACCCACGTGGGAGACCAGGAAGAAGCTCCTGGCGCAGCTCCGGCTGTTGCAGCCATTTGGGGAGTGAACCAACAGAAGGAAGACCTTTCTCTCTGTCTCTCCCTCTCACTGTCTGTAACTCTACCTCTCAATTAAATAAATACAAATCTTTAGGGGAAAAAAAAGTTTCCAGTTTATTAAAAGAAAAAAAAGAATGGAGGATCTGCCTCAACTCAGAGTGGCGTGGGCCCGTCCTGGCTCCCATGTGCCCACGGGAGGGAGGAGGAGGAGGATGTGTTTAGGGGCCTCAGCCCGCCCGAAAGCCAGGATGAGGGGCTTGTGCTGCAGCACAGCGGGGTGAGCGCCTCTTGTAGGGTCCCAATAGGAGTAGCGGGGGGCCCAGCTGCTCCACTCTCAAACCAGCTCCCTGCTGATGGCCTGGGAAGGCAGTAGTGCGTGGGCCCCACCACCCACACGGAGCTCCGGGCTGCTGGCTTCGGCCCGGCCAGTCCTGGCTATCGCAGCCATTTGGGGAATGAAGCAGCAGGTGGAAGATCTCTCTGTGTTCGCCTGCCTCTCAACTACATACATCAATTTTTTTGCTTTTTCAGAAACAGCCAGGTGTCCCCTCCAACCCAACCTCCCGGCCGTCACACACTCAGATTTGTACCCGATCCTCCTTAAAGAGACTCCTGACCACCCCAGCTCCAAGCTGCGCCTCTCAGTTCGTCCGCACAAGACCTCCACGGCCAGGGCTCTGGTTCCCACCTGACTACTTATTAGGCGCCGCCATCCTGAGCAGGTCACCGGTGTCCTTGCCGGTAAAACGGACCCAGCGACTGCCCTCACAGCCGCCCCCAACCTGCCTCCTCACATCACCATGAGAATCAAAGGCAGGAATGAGCAGAGCCTCTTGCGGTAAAAGGCAGGCTGTGGGGGCCAGCGCTGTGGCATAGCGGGTAAAGCTGCCACCTGCAGTGCCACATGGGCATGAGTTCGAGTCCCGGTTGCTCCACTTCCAATCCAGCTCCCTGCTAATGACCTGGGAAAGCAGCAGAAGATGGCCCAAGTACTTGGGCCCCTGCATTCACGTGGGAGACCAGGAATAAAGCTCCTGGCAAGAGGCTATGGTCTGGCCCAGCCCTGACCGTTAAGGGCATTTGGGGAGTGAACCAGCGGATGGAAGATTTCTCTCTGTCCCTCCCTCTCTAGCTGTGCCTATCAAATAAATAAAAATAAGTCTTTTTTAAAAAAAAAAAAAAAAGGCAGGCAGTAGCCTTGCCATGGACGTGACTAGGGCTGCCTCGACTGCTTTAAACCACGGCTCAGGGCCCTGATGGGCCACGGGTTCAGCGTGTGCAGACAGAGGCTGGCTGGGGCTGCGGAGGCGGCAGGGGGCGTGGCCGCCTGGCAGAGGCTGGACACGCATGAACAGCTTGCAGGGCTACGAGCGTACCCAGCCAGGGACGAGTTCCCAAGGCTCGCGGGGTCTGCGTGGCCAGACAGTGATAAGGGGAACAGCAGGTGGCAGGCGGTGAAATGCAGCCTTTGTTGCGAAAAGGTCACAGTGACCTCCGGGCACCCTCGGCGTGCCAACGTCTGGTGCCCTAGGAATGCCCCGGCTGCTCCTGGCGCGCTGGTCCCTCAGGCCTCAGAGCCTGGAATGGCACATGCGCACACACACACACACACACACACTCGCACGCCGGGGTCCGGGGGCTGGGTCAGGCCCGTCCACAAATTAACGTTCCGCTCCTCCTCCGCAAGACTCAGAAAGAAATCCATGACTCCCGCATTCCTTTCCACTCACAAAACTCCCTTTGTGAGCCGCCGGCTCCGGGGCAAGCCCAGCCACCCCCAGCCACCCCAGGCAGCTTCCCCGGTGAGCTCACGACAGCGGGCACCTGCGAGTCCCCGCCTGCCCGCCACCAGGAAACACGCGTTTAATCCTGGTGTACAAACTCCCTGAGCACCAAATTACGGTGTCCCTCCCTGAGGTTTATGTTGCTGGCAAATAACAGCTCATTAAATTTGCACCTTATAAAACACGGCGCTAAATCAGCCACCGTGCACCTGTCCACGGGGGAGGGTACCCAGGCTGCCTCGCTGCTCAAACCCACCTGCAACGCCTTTTGTTGATTTTGTGGCAGAAAAGCTTCAAAAAAGCCAAGGTAAACGTACGGTAGCCAAGTTCAAAGAAAATCGTATTAACTTCCATTCACCCGGCACCATCCTGGGAACCCAGGGGCAGACTGGCCTCCCTGGAGGTGTTCCCTGAGCCCCTAGGCTGACCTGCAGACATGGAGGCCCCTCCAGCCCCCAGCCCCATCCCGACGGCCCCCAGACGCCCCCCCACACACACACACAGGCCACCGTCCTGTCACACGTGCACACTCACAAACACTCCAGCCCACAGTGAGGAGGCAAAACTCCCCTGCCCCGAGCAGCCAAGTGCTTCTCGCCAACCCCCCCCAAGCCCCAGGTCTGCAGGCAGGAAAGCAGACGCCCCTCTGGGTGAAGGGGGGGGACCTCACTCGCACATCCTCTCCCGCCACCCCCACCCGCCAGGATTCCGCAGCGCTGAGAGCTGAGTCGGGCAGAGACTCCGGAACAGTGCTCTAAGCAACTGCTGTCTGCCTCAGTTTCCCCCTCCAGAAACTGGGGTGATAGCAGTGGCAAGGCCTGGGACCCCAGACACCCACAACCTTAGGGCTGGTGTTGTGGAGCAACGAGCTAACCCCCTGCCTGCAAAACCAGCATGAGATGTCAGTTCGCGGCCCAGCTGCTCCACTTCCAACCCAGCTCCCTGCTGTGGCCTGGGAAAGCAGTGGAGCATGGACCAAGTGCTTGGGCCCCTGCACCCACAGGGGAGACCCAGGTGGAGGTCCAGGCTCCTCGTTTCAGCCTGGCCCAGTCCTGGCCGTTGCAGGCATTTACAGAATGAAGCACCCCTCATGGGAGCTCATATGCGGGGCTCCACTCCCCTCTACCACCAGCCTTTCAAATTGAAAAAAAAAAAAAAAGAGAGCAAACACTCGCGGGCCCTCAGGCAGTGGCCTCTTGGTCACCTCACAAGTTAGCCGCCAGTTCTCGGAAGCAGGCTCGCCTCCCAACACCACACTGACCACCTGGCACGCACAACCACACACACCAGCAACCCTGCCGCCATAGCTCGCGGCTCCGGGGTGGGGGTGGGGGGTGCCCGCTGTGGCACCCTGCACAGAGGGGCTGGAAAGCATCTACTGTGTGCCACTGGCCCCCTGAAGCCCTTGACAGGGATTAGCTCCTTAAACCCTTGGGATGACTCGCTGGGCAGTCAAACACCAGTATAATCCCCCAGGCCAAGTCCCAGTGAGAATCCAAGAAAGTGAGCCTCGGCTTCTCCCAGGTGGAGAAGCCGCCGGCCACGGAGCAGGCCCACAGCACCAGGCAAGGGAGGCCAGCGCTGGCTGACCCGGCTCGGGGACCCAGAGCGAGCCCCTTTGCCAACCCAGGCCTCAGCATCTGAACTTCAAAACCAGAGGCTGGAGCGCAGTGGGTGGGCCCAGGCGGCGTGACACCGAGGGCCACAGTTAACGATGACACGGATCGTGCATCTGAAACCCTGGGTCTTGAACTCACGGAGTCCTCGAAGCCCCAGGTTCCTCCGCCTTGGCACCACAGACGCCTGGGGCCAGAAAGTTTAGCAAGGTGCAGGCTGCAGGATGCACTGTAGCAGCGGTGGGCAATTTTTTTTCTGCCAAGGGCCATTTAGATATTTGCAACATCATATAAAATTATCAATTTAAACATGAGTCTAGGTGGGGCCGGGGTGGGTTAGGCCACCACCTACAACACCACCATCCCATGTGGGCACCGGTACGATTCCCCACCGCTCCGCTTCTGGTCCGGCTTCCTGTGGACGCTCCTGGGAAAGCAGCAGCAAATGGCCCAAGTCCTTGCACCCCTGCCACCCACATGGGAGACCTGGATAGAGTTCCAGGTTCCTGGCTTTGGCCTGGCCCAGCCCTGGTTGTGGCAGACATTTAGGGAGTGAACCAGCAGATAGAAGATATATCTCTCTCCCTCTGGTCTCTCCCTCTCTCTCTGTAACTGTTCCCAGATCACTATCACTTCTGGCCAGGGCGCCTCCTTCCCCACCCAAGCCCACCCACAGCTCCAGGGCCTACCGCCAGCTGCAGGTCCCGGCTCCGGAGCACCGCGGAATTCTTCTCCTCGCTGAGCTGGGCCAGGCGCATGGCGATCATGTAGTTCTCGTCCTTGAGGCGCAGCAGCTCCAGGCTGCCCGCCTCCCAGTCCTCCCGGAGCCGCTGGCAACGCTCCTGCGCCTGCTGCTGCTCCCGCAGCCGCTGCTCCAGCCGCGCCCGCTCCTCCTCCAGCGCCCGGCCGCGAGCCTGCAGCTGCTGCTCCCGCTGCAGCTGGCTCTTGCGGGCGTCCCGCAGTCTCCGCACCTCTGTCATCAGGAACTGGGTGAGGCCCTCAGGCCCCTCCTCGTCTGCCCAGACACAAAGAGAGTCGGGTCAGGGCCAAGCGGCTCCAGAGGGGGTGGCAGACCGCACAGAAAAACCCCAGCCATAAAAACCAGCGCGGGGAAGTTCTAGGCTGTGCTTCCGTCCTTTGGGGCTCGGCAAGGCCTTCCTCCATAAGGCACAAACTCCAGCAGGGAGAGGAGAAAAGTGGCCCAGCCATGGAGACCTTGGAAACCTTTACTACATGAAAGCCGCAACAAAGTTAAAAGAAAAGCTGCAGAATAGAAACAAAATAACAAACAGAAGCACAGCGTACAGCGAGCTCCTGGCAAGGCGGCTCCAAAGGCAAACGTGTGAATAAATACACAGGCATAACACTAAGCAAGCAAGCCTCAGAATAAAAATGGCAATAAACACTGCGAAGGTGGTCTCGCCACCAGCGACAACATTAGGGACCGCCACCTGCAGACTTCACTCTGTACCACACACGGATGTCGGCTCCGTCAATCTTCATGACACTACAAGGTAAACACTGGTATTGTACCAAGTTTATAGCTTTCTGTAAGATTTATGCATTTCTTTGAAATTCAAAGTTAGAGAGAGGGAGAGACAGAGAGAGATGGTCCATCTACTGGTTCACTCCCCAAATGGCCAGCCGAAGCCAGGAGCCGAGCCAAGACCCATCCTGGTCTTCCATGTGGGTGCAGGGGTCCAAAGACTTGCCATCCTCCGCTGCTTTTCCCAGGCCACTAGCAGAGAGCTGGATGGGAAGTGGAACAGCGGGGACACGAACCGGCACCCATATGGGACGCCAGCATTGCAGGCGGTGTCTTTCCCAGCTATGCCCCAACACTGGGCTCTCCCTGTACCAATTTTAAAGACAGAAAAACTGAGACACAGAAAGGTCAAGTCATTTATCTGAAGTCTATAAACTACTAAGCCATCAACAACACCACTCAATGAATTAAAACCTTAAAACAGAAAGGTTACTTTTCACATATCAGACTGGCAAAAACATTTGTAAATGACCCCCAGGATTCATGGAAGCGAGAGCAAATGGGCCGTGACACACCCGGGCTCTCAGGACTTCCACCTCTCAGACCCCTGCCCCAAGACACACATTTGCACAGAGATGCAAAGGCAGGAATGCTTCTAGAAGCATCATCGCAATGTTGCAAAACCGGAACTGATGACCTGGATGGCTGTCAACAGGGAAGGGTTCTACGTGTTCTCTGTCATTAATACTCACTACCAAGCACCAGGCCATCCCTTAAAACAAGCCTAACGGACATGAGAGACCCACTGAAGTGGAGCACGTGGGGGAAATCAGGACACTGGGCATGAACACCGCCAACGGTGCTGGCCAGTGGGTGTCGGTGTGCAGACAGCGAGACCTGGCCGAGCCAAGCAGCAGAGCGGAGCGGCAGCCGGGGGAAAGGCTCTTCCTATTCCAAGGGCACCTGGACCTTTCACGGGCACGCATGGAAACCACAGGCCGGACACGTGGAAGCAACATTATCGGAAACCCACGTGGGCTCTGCACTCAGACTATGCAGATGGGTATCCCAGTCCCACCCTCCACCTACTGCGGGGCCCCTGGCAAAACCGCTTCAGTCGCTCGGCGCCTCGGTTTCCCCGTCTGTTCAGCAGGGGGACCGGGGGTGCCTGTGCGCGGGTGGCTCAGGCCCCCGATCCAGCCACTCACCCAGGATCATGGAGCAGCGCTGGGCAGGCTCCTGGCCGGTGAGCAGTGTGAAGTGCTCCGGGTAGTAGAACTCCAGGGCCTCCAGGAAGGCCTCGTAGCCCCTCTTGCCACGGCAGCGCAAGATGTCCATCAGACGCCCTGGGGGGGAGGGGAGGGGCTGAGGCAAGGCTGGCTGCTGGCTCCCTCCACCAGCCTCCAGGGGCCCTCGTTCCCCGGATGTTCTGAACAGGTGACACACACACAGGGGCCTGTCCCAACACATCAGGGAAGTGAGCCTGGAGGCAGCCATGGCCTGGAGAGCCAGACCCCCTCCCCCATGGCACTTGAACTTCAACTGCCCCTCCCCTCCCCACCACAGATGCAGGGCCTGTAAATCCCCTTTGCCTTTCCTTTCTTATTAACCTGTCTCTAAATTTCCACCTATTTATTTGACAGGCAAAGAGAGAGAGGCAGGCAAAAGTGAAGGGGCTCCGGCTTGCTGGTCGACCCCTCAAATGCCCACAGCAGCTGGGACAGGGCCCTGAGGCCAGGAGCCAGGAACTCGACCCAGGTCTCTCTGAGCCATCATCACTCTCTCCCAGGTCTCTCTGAGCCATCATCACTCTCTCCCGGGGTGTACATGAGCAGGAAGCGGGAGTCAGGAGCCCTCCAATGTGGGGCCTGGGGGCCTTGGCCACACTTGTATCTTAGCCGATTGCTAGCCGCCTGCCTATGCAATGACATGAAGTCCCCACTGCTCCCCACAACAAAGTAAATACTCCCACCAGCCAGTGCCTGAAATTCCACCTTAGACCCTCATTCCTCTGCCAGCCGGGGCCCACACACACACACACACACACACACACACACACACGTGTGGCAGGAGACCCTCCAGAAGCTAAGAAGGGTCCCAGGCGCTTCAGAAGAAGGGACAGAGAGAGGCGGGGAGGTCAAAGGGCACAGGGAAGATGCCAAGTGAGCGGCCAGGCGTGGCAGCACCAGCAACCACATCCAAGCCGCTGCTCCAATGCGGGCACAGGAAGTGAAAGGGAACCCCAAAGCAGCCAGACGCGGCCGCCCGGGCCACCCCGCCGGCCGCCTGGGCTGTAACAGGATGACCGGCACACCCCACCAGCCCACTCCACCCACGCGGAGCCCGAGGCCGGTGAGCAGCGCCCGGCCCCGCGCGCCGGCACTGTGCGCCCTGCACAGGCGCGCGCGCTGCGCTGCGGGACACAGCGGGCCCCCGACCGCGGCTCACCGGTGCGGTTGACGCGGCACGGGAAGCGGTAGGTGCTCAGCACCTCCTCTTCGTCCTGCTCGTCGATGACCCGGCATTGGCGCAGATACGGCGTGAGCTTGGCCGGGTTCAGGGCGCGCGTCAGCCGGTGCCGGACGCCCTCGATCCGCTCCCACAGCGCGTCCTCCTCCGCCTCGGACCCCGAGCCGGCTCCGGCCTCCTCCTCGGCCTCCCCCGCCTCGGCCCTGCCCGGCATGGCCGCGTCCTCTGGGTCTACGGGCGAGAAGGGACGCGCGAGTTAGCAGGGGCGCCCTGGAGCTGGGTGCGCCGGCCGATCCCGGCTCGCTGAGTCGCCTGCAGGCCCCGCCGCCAGGACCCCCTCTCAGCGCTCCGCGCCCCGCGTCCCGCGCCCGGCACTCACCCCGCGCGCCGCAGCCGCCTCGAGCTCCCCGGTCCGCACTCGGGCGGCGGCTCCGCCGGCGTAGGGGGGCGGTGTCCTCGGCGCCCCCGACTCCGCCCCCGTCCCCGTCCCTATCCCCATCGCCGGGGCCGCCGGGGCTGCCCGGGCCGCCCCCCATCGCCGCCGCGGCCCGGGCACAGCGTCCGGCCCGCCAGCCGCCCCGCAGGTCCGCCCGCACGCCCTCCTCCCGGCCGTCCGGCCGCGCGCCTCCCCCCCCCCAGCTTCCTGTTTCCCGCCGGCGCTCCCGGCCCTGGCGCGGCGGGGTCCGGGCGGCCCGCCCACACCTGCCCGGCCTCGGGACAGGGCGGGGCCGACAGGCACCTTCGCATGCCCACGCGCGTCGGCGCCCCACGCCCACCACTCGCCCGGCCGCTCGGGGTCGCGGCTCAGCTGCGCCGGGTGTCTCCCGCAAACTACAGTGCCCCAGATGCACTGGGCGCCCGCCGCACTCAAAGTTGCCCCGCGCCACCGGCACAGCAGCCAGGCCACGCACCTGCTCCCAGTCTGTGCGCCCCCCGCCCCCCGCCCTCCAGGAAAGGACCCAAGGTGTGGGGGAGGGCTCAGCCCTTCCAGGAGGCCCCACGAGGCCCTGCCCCAGACACCTCCTCCCATGTGGAAACCCGCCCATGGCCCTGGGCAGCTGAGCTGCTCACTTGGGGCCAGACCCTGGGTGCTCAGAGATGGGGACCGAACCCACAGCCCCCACAGCTGCAGCCCCTGTTACATGAAGCGCCTGCGCAGGTGGAGAGTGGGAGGGTCTCCCCAGAGTTCAGGGGATGCAGGTGGTCACCACCGGCATGGGGGAGGGCCTGCGTGCAATTCCCAGCTGCAGGTCCTGACTCCAACTCCCAGCTCATGCAGATCTCGGAGGCTCCACTGGGGGCTCAAGTGTATGGGTTCCTGCCACTCGTGGGGAGACCTAAACCCAATTCCTGGCTCCCAGTTTGCAGGCTGGCTTCTGCCTGGCCGTTGCAGCCATTTATGGAGTGAACTAGCAAATCAAAGATCTCTCTTTCCCTCTCTTTCTCTCTCCCTCCTTCCTTCCCACCTTCTTTTGCTCTTTGTAACTCTGCATTTCAAATAAATAAATAGGTCTAAAAACAAAAAGATTATGCATGATTCCAGTTCTGCACAAATTTCTTCAAGTGCCCTCATATGAGAAACATTGTTTCCACGCTCCACCCTCTCTTGGAAATGGGCGGTCCCTTAGCTGCGGACATCTGGTCTATGCCCTTATTCTCTCTGTCATCAGCTCTCAATGCATTGGAAGCTGTCACTGCCGGGCTGGGGGTGGGGGACACCTGGGAGGAGAGGGATCAGTGATGAGCTCCTGAAATGCCTGCCACAGCTTTTTTAAAAAATATATTGTTTATTTATTTATTTGAGAGTCAGAGTTACAGAGAGAGGAGGAGACACAGACAGATCTTCCACCCACTGGTTCACTCCCCAAATGGCTGCAAAGACCAGAGCCGATCCGATCCGAAGCCAGGAGCCAGTAGCTTCTTCCGGGTCTCCCAGACAGGCGCAGGGGCCCCAGGACTTGGGCCATCTTCTACTGCTTTCCCTGGCCACAGCAGAGAGCTGGATCGGAACTAGAGCAGCTGGACCAGAACCGGCACCTGTATGGGATGCCGACACCACAGGCGGTAGCTTTACCCGCTAAGCCACAGCCCTGGCCCCCTGCCACACCTTCTGAATTCAGTGCTGAGGCCAAGGGCGCTACTTCTCCGAATAAAAAAGTCTTCAATCAGTAAAGGCTCTGAAAAGCCCTCCAGGAGCTCTCTGGACCCGGGGTCCTTTGGAAACCAGGCTTGCTCTTTGGCTGCTGTTGCGCTCTCATTTCTGTTTGGGTCTCACCTGTTTGCTTGCAGGGAGGACAAAGTTTCAGTGCAAACTTCTCCATGAACCCAGGAAGGACTCACCCACATGCACACAGCAAGGCAGCCAGGCGGGCAGGCGGGGAGGAGGGGAGGCTAGAGCCAGGCGCCTGGCCTCTCTCCTCCCCCAGGCTCTGTGTCCCGCACACACCAGGCCTCCCTCCAACACACACCTTCCCTCTCTCTGGCCCTGGATGTCCTTGGCGCTCCCACATGGAGCAGCTCCGCCCAGCAGCAGCCCTGCTCATTGTATTTTTAACTTGGCTGGGAGGACACCGGGATGGAGGCCTTGGAAATGAGTCTGTAGTTAATTATTTTCTCAGCCAGAAGCCTGAGCAGGGCCCAGAGATAAGGCACAGAAGCCACGTGATGGACAGATCTGTGCACAGAGAAGTAAGGGGACAGGGGTCAGAGCAGGAGCCCCCCAGGGGCCGCGGGTTCACACTCACGCTTGCTCACAGTGGGCATCGGGCCATGTGGGGAGAGGCAGAGACCCGCCCACAGCCCCGCACACAGCAGCACCTCCTGGTCCTGTCCCTGGGCCCCGATGGCGGACGCCTGGGGCTGGACATCTCCTCCAGTGTCCTCTGCGGGCTCTGCCGCGTCCATCTCCGCTCTGCAGCCACGCCAGGGCGGCGGGACCGCAGCAGCAACACACAAGGTCTGGAGCCTGTGCCAGGCCGCTGGGTACCGTCCCAGGATCGCTGCACGAGCGACTTTCTCTAAGGCCCTTGTCCAGCCCCTTCCTCTTCCTGGGTCTCCAGGGTCTCCAGGCGGGCAGTTCCACGCACCCCTCCCGCCGCCCCAATGCCTTGTCTCCCCCGACACCCGCAGGTGCTCACTTGGCTTGCCTGTTTCTTGCTTCCGCCCCAACAACAGTGCAGCGCTGGGCTACAAGAGTGGACGGGAACGTTCCAAGAACATTGGAGGGGGCGTGAAGCGGGGGAGGAGGGGCAGGGGGAGGAGGAGAGGGACAGCGTCCTTCTCAGGGCACTGGCCTCCATCTAATACTCCACCATCCGGGCCTTCCCCAAACCAGCCACGCGGTCCACAGAGGCGGGGGTCCACGATTCCATTCCTTCCTTCCCGGCGGCCCCGGCCCCTGCGCCATCTCTGTTCCTCTTTGGTCCCGAGTGTACCCAGGGGTTTAGGTCTAGAGTTGCACAGTCTGTAAGTGTGGGTGCACCAGGACCCCGGCCCCAAGACTGCTCTCACCGTGTGTGGCTGTCTGGTCACCGACGGGGAGGGCCTGGGTCATAAGGGTCCCCCCACAGAGCCTGCCACCGCAGTGGCCACCAGGACACTTGGCAATGGCCCAGGATGGGCCAGAACACCCAGGGCTCCTGTCCTAGTACAACGCCCGCTTGTGGCTTTGGGCACAGTCCTCAGCCCATCCCTGCTGTTCATCTGAGGGTGCACCTGGGCCCAGGGAGGGAGGAGGAGGGACAGGGCTGGAGAGACTAGGAGACTAGAGTCCAGGAGACTCCCGTATTTTACAGATCTTGGGGAGACAGAGTCTGGGGTGGCTTCACCTGGCTCCCCGAGGCAGAGACCAGAGCGCGGGAAGCAGAGACCGGAGCGGCCATGGAGCCTCTCCGAGATGCGGGGGGGGGGGGGGGGGGGGGGCGCCAGCAGGGGCCGAAAGGAAGGCAGCCCCATTCCCAACAACTGACTCACCCCCTCCTCCCATCAGACCCCTTACAGAGATCTGTGCTTGCCTGGCCTTGGGCTAGGCACGAGGCGGAGCTGGGGTGGGGGGCTGGGCTGGGAGCTGAGCCCTGGGACCCAGGGCAGCAGGCAGGAGCCTGAGCACTCTGGTCCTGAGGCTGTGCCACCTAGCCACACCTCGGGTGCTCTCTCGGAGCCTTGGGGTGCCCTTCTGCCTGCAAGGGGGAGCAAGGGAGGAGCCCCACCCACCCGAGAGGAGCTCCAGGCCCCCAGGGGACACAGGACACAGCCAGAGCTGTCATGAGCACTCAGGTCATCACCCACATCCCCCAGCAGTGGTGTCCCCAAGGAGGCGGCTGCCTGGGGAACACGACCTGGGGCCCGGGATTCCAGAGAAAAGCCGGCCGAATCCACAGGGCTGAGTCAGCGGGAAAGAGCGGGAGGTGGGCGGGGGACCTGCCCACGCTGAGTCACGGCCCGTGGCTGGCCAGCCTTCCCCTGCCGATGGCCCAAACACGTAGTCGCCCAGCCCTGAGTTCAAATCTCCACCTGGAGACAGTCGTGGCTGTGTCTTGTGAGAGGAATGGCGCCATCTAAAGTCCAGGGCTCCGTGAGCACCAATGGTTTGAGCATTTGTTTGGTACCCACGTAAGTGGTTTCCAGGCTTAGCACCCTAAATCTTTGGCTCTTTAAAGATTTATTGATTTATTATTTATTTATTTGAAAGGCAGAGTTAGAGAGAGAGAGGAGAGACAGATCTTCCATCCACTGCTAGTTAACTCGACAAATGGCCGTAACTGCCACATGTGGACCAGGACAAAGCAGGAAGCCAGGAATGCCATCCGGGTCTCCCGCGTGGGTGCAGGGACCCAAGCACTCCGGTGGTCTTCCGCTGTTTTCTCAGGTGCACCAGCAGGGAGCTGGATCGGAAGTGAAGCAGCCTGGACGTGAACCGGTGCCCATATGGGGCACCAGCACTGCACCACGGCACTGGCCCCAGCCCCTTAAATCTTTTTTTTTTTTTTTTTTTTTTTTGACAGGCAGAGTGGACAGTGAGAGAGAGAGACAGAGAGAAAGGTCTTCCTTTTGCCGTTGGTTCACCCTCCAATGGCCGCCGCTGCAGCCGGCGCACCGCGCTGATCCGATGGCAGGAGCCAGGAGCCAGGTGCTTTTCCTGGTCTCCCATGGGGTGCAGGGCCCAAGCACCTGGGCCATCCTCCACTGCACTCCCTGGCCATAGCAGAGAGCTGACCTGGAAGAGGGGCAACCGGGACAGAATCCGGCGCCCTGACCGGGACTAGAACCCGGTGTACCGGCGCCGCAAGGTGGAGGATTAGCCTATTGAGCCACGGCGCCGGCCTAGCCCCTTAAATCTTAACAAGCCCCTAGTCAGTTCCTCTGTGAACCCCAGGTTCCGTTATGGCCACAGGTAGGCCCAGGGCCCTGCAGGCTGGAGCAGTGACCACAGGGGCTAAGTCTGGGGGGCGGGCCTGCCCCACCTGCCGGCACGGCTCAGCCCCGTCTGGCGCCCTGGGGACCCAGGCACTGTCGCAGGAGCACAAGCCCACGCCCACACGGGAGGTGAGAAGAGGAAACCCTGGGCACCCCAATCCAAGAAGAGGCAGTGCAGGAGGGGTGGCCTGGAGAAGGACCGGCC